ATGTGTAGCTTCTTCTAGGATTGCAGCCCTTTTAATGGATGGGGGTCGAACAGCTCATTCTCGATTTCACATTCCAGTAGACCTTGATGGTAGATCGACATGTCATATTGACCAGGGTAGTGAATTAGCAGAGCTCATTCAGCGTGCTTCATTGATTATTTGGGATGAAGTTGTTATGTCACACAAGCATGCAGTGGAAGCTGTAGATAAATCATTGCGGGATATTTTGCGGTTTCGGTATGAAAACAGTCAGGGTAAGCCCTTTGGAGGTCTTACAGTTGTTTTTGGAGGAGATTTCCGGCAAACTTTGCCTATAGTATTGAAAGCTTCACGAGGTGATATTGTGAACTCATCTATAAAGAGGTCTTACCTTTGGCCCCATTTGAGGGTAATTAAGTTAGTTGAAAATATGCGGCTAGCACGATCTAATTGCTCTCCGGAGGAAACTGTTGAGATAACTACTTTCCAGAACTGGCTCTTGCAAGTAGGAGACGGAGTAGATTCAGATGTGTTTGGTGAGTCTTTGATTCGCATACCTCAGGAATTAGTAATTCCTCGACAGAGTGATCCTGTCATTGATATTGTCGCCTCTATATACAGTGATATTAGTAGTCATGCAAGAGATCATAATTATTTAGTCAATCGAGCTATCTTGGCTCCACACCATGATATGGTTTCTGCAGTGAATGAGTATATTCTAAGTCAATTCCCAGGAGATGCAGTGGCATATTACAGCGCAGATTCTATTGAGATGGACCCTGGGAAGGAGGGAGTTGTGGATGCTGATTATTCAACCGAGTTTTTGAACAACCTCAGGATTGGAAACTTTCCAGACCATCAGTTGGAACTAAAAGTTGGGTGTCTAGTCATTCTATTACGGAATATGGATCAAACTGTTGGCCTTTGTAATGGTACTAGAATGGTTGTGAAGACTTTGGGTAAATGGTTCATTGAGGTGGAGATTTTGACAGGTACCAATATCGGTGATCGCGTCTTCCTTCCCAGATTGACATTATCAACCCATTACAAGAGTCTTAATTTCACCCTCATTAGAAGGCAATACCCTGTGGCTCTTTGTTTTGCCATGACTATTAACAAAAGTCAGGGTCAAACACTAGCCAATGTTGGTTTATGTCTTCAAAGACAAGTTTTTAGTCATGGTCAGCTATATGTTGCATTGTCAAGAGTTACTACAAGGCAAGGATTGAAGATTTTGAGTGGCAATGAGAATGGAGAGGAAGGCACTTCAATGGTGAACATAGTATTCCCAGAAATATTTGATTGATTTATATGAACTTCAATTCAGGTTTAACTTATGATTACAGTTTATATTTTTTATGGGATGGTCTAATTGACGAATTTCAAGCTGTGACACCTAATGATCCTTTACCAGGAACAGTAGTTGTCTTCACTTCCGTTGTTGTTCGCCACTTCGCAGGTCTCTTACATGGTTTTCATTCTATTTTTCGAACCTGTTCTTTTAGTTTAGATTAGTGGTAATTGAGTTTTTAGATGTTATGGTTTTAGGGGAAGAATATTGTGTGGGCTCAAATGCAACGAAAGTATATTGCAACTTGCACTATCCTCATGTGCACCCCCTGCTTGATAAGTAAGTGTTTAACCTTTGATCAATAGAATCAATTCTTTTATTATTCTTATTCTCATGTTTTGGAATTTTTTTTTATTTACAGTATAGAAAATGTCCCGCTGGCCATTGACTACACGTTGGAGGATGCTATATGGTTAAGTGAGATATGTTCCATTTCGGAACTGAATCTATATAAGACTGATTTCACCAACCAGGTAGTTTATTTGTACACTCGGTCAACTCCTACAAAAATTTCAACATTCATATTTTGCTCCCATTGAATATCATAATTGTTGGCCTGGACACCATGGTTGGATGTAACTGCGTCTCTAATGCTCTAACTTGACCAATAAAATATCAATTATCCTCTTACCATTCCCAAATGTAAGCTTTCATGTGGTTCATATTGCAGAGGAATTTGTACCTTACTACTGCAACAGTCAAGGATGTTACTGTTTCTTGGTCAAGTGTGCATCTCAAGTTTATGGTGAGACTGACTGTTGCTACTGGTCCTCATGAGGCTTCTATCATGTTTATGACTACCAAGTTCCGGTGGATAGCAAGTCGTATCATTGAGGCTACAGACAAGGAATGGACCAATGACTTCAGAACTCTCCTAGCTGCTCTCAGGGGGAATATATTGAAGTTTATGATTGAATTTGGAGATTTCAACGGCCAGACCAATGAGTTTGATTTGGTTCTTTGCAAATTATTCTGGTAGAGGGGGTGACGTACTTGAACAGTGCTTTAATTCAAAGATAATTTCTGTATAGTTGTTCCAATTATGAATGTTGAACTCTTTCCCCGAATAGATTATTACTTGGCAGCTCCATCTATCTCCTGTGGTTTTTACCAATGTGATGCTTATTATTATGTTCCAAATATTACAGCCCACTTATTAAATTTCATATATTCGTATAAACATTTTAACTGAACAATTTGTAACTTAAATTGACCAAAAAATGAATTCGTTTTCATTTGATTTCATGTTCCAACGTTTGTCAAATGCGCCGCTTATATTTAGTTTACCCGCCCAACGGGCCGGGCCCTGCGCTAGTCTATATATATGGTCACATATGCAAAGAGAGACACACAAAAAAAAAAAAAACCACCTTAATTGTGAGCGCAAGCAAGTTGGGCGATTTCATGATCAGAGACACAAAAGCCGCCGCTTTCTCCAAGCTACCCAAATCAAGATGCGTTATGCTGACGTTTCTTAACCGGATAAGAGTGGGAAGCCTATTGGGTTCATTGATATGAACTGGGGCAAAGTACTGATTATAAAGAGAAAACCCCAAATTAGTACGAGTAGCCATTAAAATTAGAGATGACAATTCTCAATCCAATTCACCAACCCTTTAAAATTATCCATCTAATCCAATCTTTTTAACTCCAATTCATGGATTAATCCATAGATTCAAATGGCAAATTACAATTTGGTACCTATAATTTTTATATTTTACATTTTGGCACCCAAAATTTAATTTTTATACGAAAAATATCGTTGGAAAATTAAGTTTTGGTACCTAAAACTTTTCATTATGACATTTTAATACCTAAACTTTTCACATTTTACATATTGGTCCTTGGTTGAGGATGTCATTTGGATTCATGGATTATCCACCAATCCACTTGATCCAATCAATTTGATCCATGGATCCAGCAATCCAATCCACCAATCCATTGATCAATCCATTTGCCACCTCTAATTAAAATGGTTCGTTATTCAAAGTGGAGGAATTGACAGACAAGTGAACTTACTTGTAGGAATTGAAAGTCGACTGCAAATGTTTGGAGTGATGGGAGGGAAGCAAATAAAGCTACAGTGTCAACAGGCTTCTCGACTTCTTCGCGGTGGCCATTGAGATCAATAGAAACAGAGTTCAGAAATGGAGTATTCTTGAAGCTGATCTTCTTCAGATTCCCACGGAAGGTGAATTTTCGGAGAGGTGGAGCCACAACTTGAAGATTACCAGGACCAACACAATGAGCGACCAACAAAACTTGAAGCATCGGGCACTTGGTAAGGAAATTCTCAAAGAAATCAGCAGGCAGGGCTACTCGCATCACGCAAAGATACTTAAGCTTACCAAACCCAACAAACCACGATGGCTGTCTGAATTCGCAGCAAACAAGACCCAGCTCATCCAGTTGAAGACAGGAAAACAGGGCGGAATGTAACTTGTAGACATGACTGTCTTCAGGAGAAAGGGCGAGGACGAATGCCTGGAGACCTCTGTTAGAAAGATGGACAATGATCTGATCGATATCATACTCATAGCAGGACCGCAATCCAGAAAACAAGAAACAAAACGTTCTTATTGGCCCGTCGTGGAGCAGCAGAACTCTGTAAATGTTCAGCATTAACCTGTCCATCATCTTGTTCGATTTAGTACTAGCGAAATCGTTGTCGAACACAAGTCGACGAACACTTCTCCAGTGGCTCCTCCACGTCGTTGACAATGCGGCCATTTTCGCAGCCTCTTTGACAGGTAAGAGCTCGAGAATCCGCAGTGTCACATCCGCAGGAAGGTTGGTGATCCTATCCGCACTGGGTTTGCACACCGGCTTCATAGCCCTCCCCTGCATGCCTAAATACAATGCTACCTGAGAACGAAAAAAAACAAAACCCGATCCGACTAACCCGGTAAGCTTCTAAGTTTTTTTCAGTGTTGATTTTCTGTCATACGTTGAAGTATTTATACCCAAGGCTAGAGCATGGGCTCTTTCATTGTGCTATATAACCTTTTCTTCCTTTCTCTTTGTATTTTCCTTTTCCTTGTCGGATAAGGATTCTTGATCTGTGGGTGAAGACTGAAGACTAGGCCTACCCGTAGCGTTTCTCTTTCGCAGTAATACACACTAGAGCCTAACGGTCGATAGCTTTTTGTTCGATACAGGCCCAACATAAAAGCCCAATTTTCTCTTACAGCAAAAGGAGCCCAAAGCCCGATCTCCAGTAAAGCAGGGCCTTACCCTTCCTCCGAAAACGCTACCATCATCCTCAACTTACTCCCCTCCCGCACACCCTAGCCTCGCCGCCGCCGCCGCCGCTGCTGCTCTCCCTAGCCTCCATCCTCCGCCGATTCAATCTCCTTCCGGCGCGTTTGCCCCGCCTTAGAAACCCTCACTTCTCCGCCGTTTCCCATCCGAGGTAAATCTCCTCCTTATATCGCCCACACAAACAAAGTAGTAGATGTGAATATCCAATATTTCTCCCTTCTGCGTTTGCTTCTGTTACTGCTGCTGCTGCCGAAAGGATAATCAAGAAGTAAAATTATAAATTGAATGATTTGATTCCGTTTCCTTGGTGTGTAAGTGCAAATCATTGGTGGGATGAAGAAAATGTTTAACTCTTTGATGTCTGAATGAATGTGCCGCCTGATTTTGCAGAATCTGTTTGTGAGAGAGAATGGAGGTTGACGGTGGTAATGAAAATGGGATCCGTGTGAAAGCGACATTCAGACTTGGCTCCGAGACGCATTCAGTGGCAGCCGCGAAAGGGGAAAGAGCTACCATCTCCGAGGAACTGGTTGCCATGAAAGAAGGAAGCATGAGGATACTGAAGGAATTCATCACCAAGCATAACGTTCCTGCTGATGTTCCTGATGAGTTGGTTGACGACGAAGACGAAAGCTCGGAGGAAGCAGAGGATGAGGTTGCAGAGAAATCCAAGAAGACCAAACTGACTTAAGACTGTCTACTACTGCTGCTGCCTTAATCGCAGCAGGTACCTGGTTGTTAGCAAAATTTGTGAAAAGTTAATACTGTGACTTCATTTGTGCTGTGGAGAATCAACCAGTTGAAGCTGAAAAGTGCCCCTTTGTAATAGTGTGTTAATCTAAGGCTTTTGTCACAACTTTCTTTGATAGCTCGTGGGTAACTTGAACAGCTAATATAGTAACATCTTTCTTGCCACTAGAGCTTGCCTTCACTCGTCATTGTTTTCCACAATATGTTCAGTTGTGGCTTATGGTTTTGCTACCAGTGAACCAGAAGCTCAGAAGCTGAAGATGATTGTTCCGTTTTTGAAGAAGTCTCGCCGTCTGCAGTTGATGGAGACACTATCTGAGAATGATTGTGGTGCACTTCCACCAATGCTTCATGTTCATTGTTACCTTTGGATTGTGGTTAAAACCCAGCAGTAGGCAAGCAAGATGGAGTTCTGAAGGAGTAGAGGGTGCTGGTTGCATCGTTGGTTGAAAGACTGAGCAGAAATAAACAGCAGAAACCAAAAAAAATATATATCAGAGCCTGGTTTCGATCCAGGGACCTGTGGGTTATGGGCCCACCACGCTTCCGCTGCGCCACTCTGATATTGTTGTTAGTGTACGCTTTCAGTATTAATAATATTAAAAGACTTGGGTTGTCAATCTGTAATTGAGTTCGAAAGCAGAGTGTGTTTGGCATCCCCGCTCATCGCTTCTCAGCTTCCTCTGTACCCAGTCCACCTTTCACCCGCCGTTCCATCCTTCCACCGCCGGCCGGTATTTGTGCTTCTTAACAACTCTTTCATCTCGCGATTCTCGGACGTAGGCTGATGTTCAACCAGCCGTAAGATTCGTCCATGTCCAATCCGTCGTCTTCAAAACAATTCTAGGGATTTCATGATGCGAAGATTCCGTTGCTCTTTATCAGCTCTTGAAACATTCTGCGGTTCCAATCCCGTCTCCGCAAGCATTTCTCCTTCAGTTCCCCGTACTTCGGCAGTCGCTGGTTTCATTGCGCCCAGATTTCCCTTCAAGAATGATTGGCGTTTGTATTGTACTCAAATGGCTGTTGTGTCAGAGCAAACCCTTAGTCCAGCTAGGAGGCGCAATGACCTTATCGAGCTCCACACCGAAAGACTGTGCGAAACTATATTGGGAACCTCCGATTCATTACAGCCCAAGCAGAATCTTCACATGGAGGAAGCACTGGAGCAGCTTGGTTTACAACTCACCACTGATTTGGTCCTCGAGGTTCTTCACAGGCTTCGTTACGATGAAAAGACGGCATTCAGATTCTTCACATGGGCAGGGCGGCAGGAAGATTATGCGCACGAGGCTTGTGCTTACAACGAAATGATGGACATTTTGTCGAGCACCAAGTACAAAGTGAAGCAATTTCGGATTGTGTGTGATATGCTGGATTACATGAAGAGGAGCAATAGGAAGAGTGTTCCCGTGGAGGTTCTGTTGAAGATTTTGACAGATTACACGTTGAAGTACCTCACCCATGTTCAGAAATTTGCTAAGAAGAAGAGGATTCGGGTGAAGACTCAGCCAGAGATCAATGCTTTCAACTTGCTTCTGGATGCTTTGTGCAAGAGCTGTCTCGTTGAGGATGCTGAAGCTTTGTTTAAAAAGTTGAAGAGTAAGATTAAGCCAGATAGCAATACGTATAACATCTTGTTCTTCGGGTGGTGCAGAGTTAGGAACCCGACTAGAGCTATGAAGGTTCTCGATGAAATGATCGAGCTCGGTCTCCCACCTGATAACTTTACTTATAATACCGCTATCGATTCATTTTGTAGAGCTGGCATGGTGGACGAGGCTGCTGGTCTATTTGAGTTCATGAGAACCAAAGGTTCGACACTTTCTTCTCCTACTGCAAAGACTTATGCAATAATGATTGTAGCTCTAGTTCAGAATGATAGAATGGATGAGTGCTCGAAACTTATAGAACATATGACTGCAAGTGGTTGCCTTCCAGACGTCCCAACATACACAGAAATGATTGAAGGAATGTATACAGCTGGCAAGACGGATGAAGCATACCGGTTTTTGAAAGAGATGGGAGACAAAGGTTATCCTCCTGATATAGTTACTTACAACTGTTTCCTAAATGTGCTTTGCAAGAACAAAGAAGCTGATGCAGCACTCAGGCTGTATGGGCAAATGTTTGAGGTTGAGTGTCTGCCTAGTGTGCAGACGTATAACATGCTGATCTCTATGTTTTTTAAGATGGATGATTATGATGGTGCTTGTGAGATTTGGGATGAAATGGAGAAAAGAGGGTGCGATAGAGATGTCGATACCTATAGTGTGATGATTGATGGGCTCTTCCATTGCAATAAGATGGAGGATGCATGTTGTCTTGTAGAAGAGATTGTTGATAAGGGCATGAAGCTGCCTTATCGGCAGTTTGACTCCTTCCTCATGCAGCTTTCAGTGACTGGTAATCTAAAAGCCATCCACAAACTCTCTGAACACATGAGGAAGTTTTATAATCCTGCCATGGCAAGGCGGTTTGCACTGAATCAGAAGAGGAGAAGCCAGAGTTTTAGAGGAAGAAAGAATATATGAGTATGATCTTTTTACTTTTAGCTGTCATACTCCGTGTTGTTGTATTGTAGTTCCCACTTCCTCGCTCATTAGGTGACAAAATCTAGTTCAACAAATGTCTTTCAAGGTCTCTAGTGCTTATCTTTGCTTTCTCTTTTAGGAATAGTATTTGTTTCTCACTCCACTGTTGTCCCTTCATTGATACCAACATTAACGATTGCCCACTTTTCAGCATTTCAGCGCAAAACTTTAGGTTATAGCTGCTGTGACATGTCTAAAATTGAACGGGTGTTGGACATCCATTGTATTCTTATATACTAAATTACTAATATGATAACTGTTGTTACTCTTCTGGGACTATGTCGAATCGCAGAGTAGCTAGTTTTCTGCAGAACGAATGATCGCTTGTATAGTTATCTATCTTGAGGAAAGTGTGACCATTTGAATTTGGTTAGTGGCTAACGCAAAACACTTCTTCATGTTGCATCCATGTTCTACCCTCTGATACCAGATGACTCCCTATCTTAATATATGGATGCCCTTTTTGCATTAGGTTTGGAGCAACAGTTGCCAGTTCAACTTGGGGGGAATTTTGTTTCCTCGAGAGGAACTCCAGGGACGCAAGCCAGCATGCAAGAGTGCAGGTAAAAGCTGTCATATGCTTTTGGTGAAACTGCTAATGAATGCAAAACTGTCTTAGGCTCATCAACCATGCTTTCCATTATCAAATGCAAATGAAAGGGAATACAATAAGTGCCACGACAATTGTGAATCCAGATTGTAAGAAGGGCATCATAAATTTTCTGCCGATCCTTATGCCACAGATTCTAAGAACCAAAGCTCATTGAGATCATGATAGCAGTATCATCGTGTTCCCAATTGTCACATAATTCCACATCAAGTTAAGGAAATCTAATCAAAGTTCTATATGGTTTTATCAGGCACATGGCAAGCTGTTCGTTTATCGCACAATGTTGGTTGCTACAAGGCATTTTGTACTCTAGAGGCTGGTGCGAGTTTCAGAACGAGATTGTGGATGAGCAACATTGTCCGCCTTCCATAGACTTGGAAGGTCAAAATGCGCATTATGAAGATATCTCGTGTTAATGATCCTGCTCATGTCACCCACCAGCAAGCAACAGTTTAAAAAAGTTGGCAGAATCAAGGATACTCAAAGAGATGAAGAGAATCTCAGGTTGATCCCTCTGGAAGTTAGGATCCCCGTGTCTGAACATGTAGATCGCCCAATGATCGGAGGAACGAGAAAGGTAAAATACAGAGTAAATCAGCATTTGATAAGCAGTCTCAACCACATTCATGTAGGCTGGTACATGGTCAGCAAGAGAGATTTTCTACATCAATCGATCAATGGCAGCCTCAAAACTGCAACTGATTGAGATCTCTCTACCCTTTTATTTCTTAACTTTCAAACACATTATATGTAGTCTGTAATATCTTGCACAAAATCATGTAGAAAAATTTCAAGGATAAGCTATAAAGAAGCAAAAGATTTACGAACTCAACCCAAATGTGGTTTTCCTTGATCGGCCTCGTATGGAGGAATTCAACTCTCTCCATTGTTATTCCCTTCCTTTCCTCCCACATAACAGGAGCTCAGTTCTCATCACTCGGCCCAAAAACCTTCATTCTCGACAATGGAGTCCTCAGGTATCCATCCACCTCAAACTTCTTCGGCGAGAGCTCTCGATACTTCGCGAACTGCTGCTTCGCCTCATCGTTCTTATCCAGCAGACTGTAAATCATTCCCCTGCAGAAATACGGCCGGAAATCTTTGGGATCCTCCTTCGACAGCTCATGGTATATCCTCATCGCCTCCTCTATGTTCTTCTGCAGGAACTGAATCTGCGCCATTATCAGCTTCACGTCTCGAGCCTCCTTCACCTTGTTCTCCTCTTCAGCTATCTGCAGAGCATTCTCCAGCCTCGCAATCACCGCCTCCCCTTCCCCACTCTTGTCCATGAGCAGCGCATTCTCGAAAAGAGCCTCGAACGACAGAGGGTTCACAGATAGAATTTCCTCGAACACCTTGCGGGCATTCTGGGACTGACCCATCTCGTTGTACAACCTCGCCATCAAGAACTTCCACTCCACCGCCGCGGGCTGGGCGGCGACGAGACGGGTCAGGATCTTGAGAGCCTCCTCGTCTTCCCGGCTCTCGAGCTTCTGCTGCAGCAGAGACTTCAGAGACTCAACGGCTTCGGTGTTGCCCACGAGAAACTCGGACAAAGGAGAGGCGAACGAGGAAGAAGAGTCTCCATCCTTCTGTGGCTCCAGTTGCTCTTCCTCTTCGATGGTGGCCGGGGTTTCTTCAGACAGAGTAGCTGCGGCTGCTGCAGGGGGTTCGGCTTTGGCCGGGTGGAGAACGGAGAAATGGGCGGCGGCGGAAGCGGAGGCGGCGATCAAGACGGCGGCTTTGGCGAGGGTTTTGAGGCGCTGGATGATTGAGGGTGGGTGTGGGTTTGGTAGACATGCTCTAATGGTGGGAATGGAAGAAGGTTGCGGGTGGGCGAGCCTGGTGGAATTGAGAAGAGGGGGGAGTTGGGATGTTGAATTGAATGAGGAGAGGGAGGAGGAAGAAGAAGGTACTTTGAGATGGAGGAAGGAAGTGGGGAGCGTGGAGCTCATTGTTTGGAGGATTAATGGCGATCTTTCCCTTCCTTCGTCGGTACCTTTCGTCTTCCAATTGGTGATATGGAAGAGGGAGGAAGGAGACGAGTTCGCTGGTTGGTAGGGTTTATAGTAACAGAGTTGGGTGGAAACAGAGTGAACAATGTAAACGACAAAATGGTAAAAGGCGGACCCGGCAAAATTGAAAATACTCAATACCCATTGAAGAATACGAAATTTTTTATTGATAATTTTTGTATATCGTTTCCTAAAGAGAACATTTTCATGGCAAGTTTGGGATCTCAGAAGAATGTGTATTGTTCATATTCGTACAAGTGGTGTGGATTCTTAAATTCGAGATTCTAAAATCATAATATTCTAGACAAAAATTCTTTGTCTGACTTTTGGAAGATTCTTACATTGTTTTTTGTATTTTTCCTCTCTTGTTATCCAATAATTAACGATTATCAGATGTCAAGTTTAAATTGGTGTTTAGAGTAATAATACTATGACAAGTTACCACTTGTAAGTGAACTAGACTTATGGATGAAGGGTTAATAGTCTATTGTTATCACCATTAAATATTTATTTAATATATGATTTACATCTTATAATTCAAAATCAAATATACATAGCTCAACAATTGAAGCCAAAAGAGCTTATGTGGGTCTAAGAAGGTTAGATGTTTTTTTGGTGCTGACATAGTTGTTGTTCAGTTGGATGAACCCTACATGACAAGCAACATAGTCGAAAACTCATACACATGTCATGATTTATGTAGATCTTATTGGTAAATTTTTCCAGCTGGATGTGTGGAGTATGGAATATTTGATATTGTACATACAATGTCAAGATAGCAAAACCACCATAGATGTCGTTTGCTTGTTACTTTTGGTTTTGAGATTTGGTAGGCAAATCAACCACATATTTTTTCTCCTCAAATTTGGTAGGCAAATCAAACACATTTGGTTTTGAAAACGATTTGGTTATAAGTATCAAACTTATTGTATTCCATGGATATGAAAAACATTCTAAGATGTCAAATTCTTCATTTGAGGAATAGTAATACATTAACGTCTTAGAATCCTTTCTTGGTGGGATTCTAATGGTACCATGAACTTGGAGCATGATGACAGATAAGACATTCAGGCATTACTATCCTCACTGGCCCATGTATTCGAGTTTATCACGGTTTTTTTTTTTCGTTGAATCTGTTCCCCATTTTATTAAAATCAAGAGGCAAATCCATTTACAAGATGCAAATGGAATCAAAAACAACGAAAGGAAAACTCATAAAGAGCAGCCCTAAAAGACAATCAAAACACAAACATCTTCCTACTACACCCCCCACAGAATTACATACTGTAAGAACCCACCATTACTCAATACTCCCCTGCAGACCAAGACTCTGCAAGCCCTTCATAAGCTCTTCATTATCTGCGCAAATGATCAGCAAGTCACCCTTAAGTTCCCTAATAAAAACATCAACTTGTTTCCTCTCATTGCCATATAATCGACGACAGCGTTCTTTCCAGATCCCTGCACAACAGAGGCACCATATTAAGCTAGTAACTTTACTCATCCCCTTCTGTTTGCAGCAGGCAAGACCTGCAGACACAGTATCCTCCCAGGATCCACAACAGAGCACTCCCATCCTTAACGCCACTACCACTCGCCTTGAAAAATCACACGCAAAGAACAGATGATCCCGATTTTCCATTGCATTGTCACACAACACACATAGTCCATCAGTCTGTTTCCCCCATGTCAATAGTTTCTGCTTAGTGACCACAACATCTAACATGATCATCCAGGCTAGGAAACTGTTTCTAGGCACGCCATTCTTCCCCCAGACAAGTTTAGCCCAAACGACCTCCACATACTTGACTCGTAACGTATTCCAGACTACAGTCAGCTTGAACACAGGCATAGGTTTATCGTCCCACACGATCTGTGAATTATGAAGCTTTAAGAAAGGCTGAATTTTACCTCTTAGCTTTAGTATCTTTCTCCAGGCCCAGGAGCTGCTTGGACAATCAGAAACTGTCCAAATGCACTTATCCTTGATTTTATAGCTTTGGAACCATGCTACCCAGATGGCCCCACTCTTCATGAGGAACAGCCAGAAGAATCTGACTGTACAAGCCCTATTCCAGGTACATAATTCACGCAGCCCCAATCCTCCTTCCACTCGAGGCCTAGCCATCCTGTCCCAACTCACCTTAGCACGACCGTCTTCTCCCCCATGCCAGAGAAACCTAGAGCACAACTTTTGAACTTCCTTGATAACTTTCTTAGGCAAGATGAATATTTGCATCCAGTATTGTAACGTCCCCATCAGTACTGAGGAAATCAGTTGCAACCTCCCAGCATAGCTGAGCTTCTTCGCCCTCCAAGACTGAATTCTCTTCGTGATGATACCCACAAGTTTGTCTGTCTCACTAGAAGGCAACTTACCAGACAGGAGAGGAACCCCCAAGTATCTGACAGGTAAGCCTCCTTCACCAAACCCTGAAATCTGAAGCGCTGCCTGTTTGAACAATACTGACTTCCCACCAAAGTAAACTTCACATTTACTTGGGTTACACTTCAGCCCTGAAATGGAATGGAACTCCTTCAAAATCTCCTGGACTCTATGTATAGCCTGACCTGATCCTTCTGTGAAAATAAGTAAATCGTCAGCAAAACACAAATGTGTTAGGCCAACTCTCTTACATTGCGGATGGAAAGGCAAAGACCCCTCTGCAGCAGCTCTGTTCAAAAGAAGAGAAAGTCCTTCCATAGCGATTGTAAACAGGTAGGGTGAGAGGGGATCACCCTGTCTCACCCCCCTCTGCGCTCCAAAAAACCCACACAGCCCTCCATTAATACTTATGCTGAATTTTGCTGTTTTAATGCACAACCTGATCCAATAGATGAACCTTGAAGGGAACCCCATCACTTCCATCATTAGGAACAAGTATCCCCAATGAACCGAGTCAAAAGCTTTCATTAAATCTACCTCGATAGCACATCTAGAAGATAGGGTAATCTTGTGATATCCACTAACTAACTCCTGGGCCATTAAAATGTTATCAACAATCCTTCTTCCCTCAATAAAGGCAGACTGATTCCCACTAACAACAGTAGCCAGAACCTTTTTCAATCTATTTGCAAGCAATTTTGCAATAATTTTGTATATTATGTTCACACAAGAGATTGGCCTAAACTCTTTCAATCTACAAGCTGAGGCAACTTTAGGTATTAAAGACACAGCAGTCGCATTAATACTGCTAGGGAGCTTACCTGTAGAAAAGAATTCCAGTATCCCAGAAGTTATATCTGCTCCCACAATCCCCCATGTTCTCTTGTAAAACCCTGCTGAGAACCCATCAGGGCCTGGTGCTCTATGAGTACTCATACCAGCAACAACCTGCCTCACATCATCTGCAGTAAAAATCTGGCAAAGGAAAACCCTCTGCTCCTCATTTAATCTGTGCAACACCAGACTCTCAAGAACCTGTTTGTCAGGGTGTACCTCAGGGTCAACAAACCCAAATAGGCTTTTATAAAATCTTACTGCCTCAGCAGCAATATCTTCCATTTCCACTATCTCTTCACCCCCATCAAGCACTAACCTCCTTATTGCCTTCTTAGCTGTCTTTATTTTAACTGACTGATGGAAAAACCTAGTACTTTGATCCCCCAGCTTCAGATAGTTAACCCGAGCCTTCTGCCAGTAGAAACTCTCCTCATCCCTTTTAAGTTGGCCCAGCTTAGAATTTAGATCCGCAACCACAGCAAAACGAGCACCAGATGGATCAGAGAGGGCACTTTCTTGAGCAGCAAGCAATTGCCTTTCAGTACTCCTGACCTGCCCACTGATGTCATTATAGACTTCTTTATTCAACCTCTTCAAACCCTGCTTGACTGCATTCAATTTGATTTTTATTTTCTGGAAAAAATCTCCCTGAGCAGCTGTTGACCATCCTTCTTCAACTATGTGGTAGAAATCCGGATGATCAGCCCATAACTCAAAGTATCTAAAGGGCTTTGGGAGGGTTTTCTGCTCTGGTTGTGTATGAACACATACCCCACAATGATCTGAGAAAGTACCCACCAGAACATCAATACTATAGTTAGGAAAACAATCAAACCACACCTCATTCACCAATGCTCTATCAAGTTTCCTGGCAATTGGGTTCCCCTGCTGTCTATTCGTCCATGTAAAAAATGGCCCACTTGATCTGTGATCAACCAACTCCATTGCATCCACCCAACTCCTGAATTCCAACATACAACTAGTCATCATGGTCATATTAGAGGTTTCCAATGGTGACAAAACAGAATTAAAATCCCCCCCTACAACCCATGGGACTGTGGATATCTTGAAACGTGCTAAGTCTTCATAGGTATCCCTCCTCTCTGACTCTTCATTAGAAGCATAAACAGCTGTGATAAAACAACTAGCTCCACTCACTTCTTTAGCCAAACAGTGCACAAAGTTCTTCCTGGCAGCAAGTACCCTGAGTTCAATATCCACATTCCAGAATAACCAAATCCTCCCTAGATCACTGTCTCTGTAATTAAGAAATTTCTTCCATCCTATACAGAAATCCTCCACCGTTTTATTTGACTTTGCCTTCCTAACCCTTGTTTCCAGAATGGCCACCACATCAACCTTATGTCTACCTAGGACTTGTGAGAAGTCCCTTCTCTTAGAGGGTTTATTAAACCCTCTAACATTCCAGAAAAGAACCTTCATCCTGGGGAGGATAGAGAACCCCCACCCTTCCTACCACCCTTCTTTGGAGCTGCCTGCAATTGTGTAACCTCCTTATCCCCTACTCCTTGCAAAGCAGCAAATGATTGTGTAGTTTGCAAGACACTAGTAGGACTAGGAAGAGGAGACCAGCATCGTGGCCTAGCTCCATTCACCACCTTCTGAAATTCATCCTCCGTGGGAAGTACTGGTGAACTGCAACCTGCTACTGCCTGAAACGAATGCTCCAAATTGATACCCACACAATTAGTTCCAACCATGAGATTAGTGCTCAACTCCATATCATCTGCCACCACTTCTTTCCCTTTATCCTGCCCAGTTTGGATACCAGCCTGAGTAGGAGTATTATTAGCAACCATTGTCTTCTTCACCCAAACCCTCTCAACTACATTGTTTCCCTGAGCCCCTTGTGCCTTCACCCCTTGTGCCTTCTTACTACAGCCACATTTCTGCCCAAACGAATGGCAATGATCACACACAGACGGCAAGTGACTATATGTAACCCCCACCTTAATCGAGCGAGTCTCAGTTGGCCATATCAGAATATTGTCCGGAAACTTAGCTGTAGCCTTCAATTCCACAAGAGCCTTCGCACATCCTAGCCTGCCCCCCATCCTTGTCGTATGATCTACTCCCAACGGGATCCCAAGGAAGCTCCCCAACCTGCTCATACCCTGGAAATTTACATACTCCAAAGGGACATTGGTAAATCTCACCCAAATCGGCAGAGCCTTGCTCCCCAAATCCTCAACATCAATCCCCGGGGTCCAAGGTCGAAGGTATAACATGTTATCAGAATGGAACCAAGGCCCACTCTCCAAGATCCAATCACACGTTTCCTGGGATGGAAATTGAAGAAGAATCAATTGCAAAATCTAATTATTTATAGAGTAATATAAAATACTTGTGCTAAAGCTTACTAGTTTTGTGTTTAGCATCTTACCTACTTCCTATATTTTGAATCCTTCATTTCAAATCCATAAAACATGGCTACATTGCAAGGTTTTCATTGACTTTATAACTTTCTTTCATGTATATCTAGTGAAAAATAAGAATTTGTGCTCCTGGTGAGGTGGTGTAAAAAAATTAAATTTTCATTCTAATTGGCATATTATCTAATAAATAATCAAACTTAGAGAGTTAACATTAGGTCAAATAAATTTAATAAAATTGGACGGACAAGATCAATCAAATACGTAGAGCCAATAGCTGTTTTGTTATAGAAAAAAGATGTCAGCGGCGAACGTGTGAAGCTTATAAAATTAGGAACCAATAGTCAATTTAGCCCATAAAACACCGGCTATTACGCGCAATTTAAACGGTTCATAAATTTCCATTGTAAAGTTTAGCGGAAGGCCTCCGATCAGGCGATCACCGTACAGTTCAGCAGGCACAGCGAGCAGCGGCAAGCAATAACATCTGACCGGAGAGCCTTTGACCACGATGGTGAGTCGGTCTTCTAGTTTTCTCTATCATTCTATCGTCAGAATCCTAATCCTCCTCATCGGAACTCAACATGACCAGTTTCCCTAATGGCCCATGTCGAGGAAAGACGAGGGGAACTCTTGCAGTGGTAACTTTGTTCGTGAAATCCCATCATAGGATTCAAAGCTTGATTCTTTATTAGGCACTCTTCTTACTCTAGTGGTTGTGTTAGGTATTGGGGATTTGGCAATTCTAAGTCCGCGGCTTGAGACGTATGACTCAAAAGCATTTAGCTAAAACCCTAGCAATTCAGGCTTTTTCTCGTTTCCTTTACCCCCTGTTGTGGGTATTTCCAGTGTTGCTTCTATTTGATACTATTCCCTTGCCTTATGTTGTTCATAGGATGTTCCTGGTCCCAGGAATAAAACCATTTGCAGAGAAGGAAGTGGCGACGATGGCGATAGAATCAGTTCTCTGCCAAACAATCTGATTGAGCACATCTTGACCTTTCTTCCATTACGAGAAGCGGCCAAGACTAGTGTCCTGTCAACTGGCTGGAGGCGCAAATGGGTGAATAGTCCATCGCTTGCATTCGATGGTCAGTTCTGGAACCCATACCCAGTTGGGGTGGCTCCTTGGTATCTCGATAGTAATGGGGTCTATCCTATTACCATCGAAAAACTAATGTTGAATGTGTTCACAGTTCTCTGTCACCATAGGGGACCCTTGAGGGAGTTCTCTCTTTCTATCCCTCAACTGAGTACCTTTCCTGCTTATGTTGATCAGATTTTGCTTACCTTGTACGAGAAATGTATTGAGAGCTTATTCATTTGGATCAATGAATACAAGGTTCCTCATTGTCTCTTCTCATTCAGGCAGCTCAAGAAGTTGCGTCTGTACGCCTGCACGTTCACTTCCTCCCAAATTTCGTTTGAGGAATTCAGTATGCTTACTAGCCTTGAACTTAAATGGATCAAATTCCCAAATGCTCAGCGGGTTTCTTTCATCATCAGATGCCCATTGCTTTTAACTTTTACTATGATTGCTTGTGTCACTGCTAATGGCACCTATCTTGATATACTGAGCGAAGCACCCAGCCTTAGCTATCTCAACTGCGTAGGAAGCTTCAGCTCTGTGTGTGTCAAATACGCTCCGCATCTCAAAGATGTTACTGTCCATCAGACTGCAAGGTTAGTTGATCCTTCTAAGAGCAAAGATGAACCCACTAATTTCAAGAAATTATGTGGTGGTTGTCCAGCAATAGAGCGACTATGTATAGCACTTGAGCTCTTCAGGGTAAATATACTACTACTGTCTTTACCAATTATGCATCTTGGAAGTTTTGAGTAGCCAGAGCTCTTTCTTACATAGTCTCATTTGGGAATTGCAGGACTTGGGAACTAAAGAACTGATTATTCAACCTGGTCAAGTATTTAGGTTAATGATGCTAAGAGAACTAAGGTTGGGTGAATTGTGTCTCAGCTGTCCGAGGGATGTCTGGCGTAGTATGCTCTTAATCATAGTTGCCCCAAACTTGCAAGACCTCATCATCACTGTGAGATTCTCAGCCCCCCTCTCTCTCTATGTGGTGTGTGCACTAAATACTGAAGTCCACAGAAAGAAAAACATGCTGAATTTTGCTGAACTAGATAAGTTTACAATTCTTGGGTGGTTTCGGCCTTTTTTCCTTGTCATTGAGGATGTAACTTTTGGCTAGTGGATTTTATTTGATTGTAAGCTGCTCCGTGTCTACCTTATGTTATAGATTAAAAAGAAAGCAACTTCGCTTCTTACTGTTATTCTTTGCTTGGAATTCCAGACCAAGCCAATGGCAACCCAGTACATAGCTCTCAACCTGATATCTGCCGTACAGAGGGTGTGTGGATTGATGAAACACAGAGCAAGTAAGCTGGTGAAAGTGGAGATCAATCAGTTGCAGGGAGAAAGGACTGAGATGTGTTTCATTCAATGGTTATTAGCTGCTTCACCTGAGCTTCACAATATGGAGATCAAGTTTTCTCCTAATTCGCTACCTACTGACCAGGTTCAGACTCTGAAAGATTTGAATGGATTTCAGCGAGCCTCCAGCAAAGCACAAATCATAATATAGTCACCCTGGTTTCAGTAGAGCCGTTTTTTTTCCTCATTCATAAATAGTCGATCAATATAGAGTCTACTTATGGTGGACATTGAGTACGTTGTGGTCGCACAGGCAGCTCATTCTCCTTCAAGGAATTTGTAGGCATTTCTGTGCTGTCTTTTCTGTTGGATTGACTTGTGCATTGTATATGTTCCCAATGTCTACTGCAAGTTCGAGTTTGATGTGCATGCCCAGGAGACTTATGTTTTCTTTGTTATGAATGAGAGGGGTTAGGGCAACTACAAGTGTTAACAAGCTTTTCGTTCATCATTTACAGTTTTTATAGGCAAGGCTCAACCATGACAGCCTGCAAGATTTGCCACTTTCAAACTTGAGCAGGAGCAAAATGGTTTCAAAGTGGAGACGGGAGAGATTGAAGGAATATCACCTATTCCAGTTGATCATTCCAAAATCAATGAAGTTATATATTCCTGAATAAATCATTGGCACAACAATGCATCTTCATTTCAGCAGAACCAAATAATATGCTAGTTCTAACCAAATCCACCACTAAGTTGATTTGAGCCTCACATCAATTGGTATGGTAAACAAAGGACCCCATAAAAGCAGGACAAACCATTTACCGGGAAAATGGACTAATCGAAACTTGTTAACAAAACAATTTTGAACGTCCGTTCATAGCGGGAAATGTTGTACTTGAAAACGTCAACATTTCATTAGTGATATTTTCGTCCTTACTTTGAAGTGGGCACGATACTTCATTAGTACGCCAAATTATCATTCTATTCAATTCGTTTCATGTTAGGGGTTTCTTGTTATAGAGGACACCGTAGGGAGCAAGAGTAAAAGGAATTTTGACTAGTTACAGTTTTGTTTACGAAATGAATGATAAAACTTCTAGGAAACTTATTGTAATGTAAACATGACCTCTATATGACACAATAACATCTATGTTCATATTGAAATGTCTAGTCCTCTGATAATTTGGATTCAGAGTTATATAGATCATCAAGTTTGATGATTAACTTTGTACTCAGCCACTTCGTTGATCTATCATAAAAATTTGAACTCAACTCACAATCATATTTGTCATTTTTCAAAAGTTGGGGCTATTTTCGTTCAAATTGCCAAAATTGGGGCCTTATCAAGGTTGTCAATTCGCGGGTTGACCCGGACCCGATCGAACTAGTGGGTCAAAGGTTAACGGGTCACTAGTTTTAGCCCGTTTCAGCTCGGAAATATGAAAAGAATCATTATATTGTACTTATCCTGATAAATTATATCAAATCTCATCTTACATATGAGTAATAACATATAACATTACATCAAAGTAATATATCGTACTTAGATCCAACATATAGCGAAAATTCATACACACTTATATAACATCAATATTCAAATGTTCGACTAAGGATTCCAAAGATTGAGTTGGGCGAAAAGAAAAATAGGAAAATAGGCGCATTTCGCAAACCAAAGAAAAAAATGACACAATTGACCTCCAACACAATACCTTGTAGCGGTCGACCCGGCGGGTGCGTGCGACCCGTTTTTTTCATCGGGTCAGGGTCAGGTCGACCCGCGGGTTGACAACCTTCATTGCTTCTTTGATAACAGCAACGATAACGTCACCAATATGAGCATATCGTCGATTACTAATCCTTATGATTCGTATGCACATTAATTCTCGGGCTCCACTATATATTATCTGCTACATTCAAACGGGGGTTTGCAGTTGAATCATATCATTTTTTAATCTGTTATTTCACTGCAAACGAAAAAAAAGAGGGTTACTATTTGCCGCCCGTCTCTTTACTATTTGCCGTCCGTAAATTAAACTAAAATGACATTTTTACCCTTTGTTCATTTTTTATAAAACAAACCTCATTCCACCACTGGTGTCGCCGCCGCCAATCCACCGCCGCCGTTAAATCGCCGGCGTCGCCACCACCGCCACCAAATCACCGGCGCGGCCAGAACCAAATCACCACAGCCGGCGGAAGGACCCCGTCCGACGCCGGCGGGAGGACCCCGTCCGACGCCGGCGGGAGGACCCCGTCCGACGCCGGCGAGCGGACCATGCATTAGCGACGGTTTCAAAACCGTCACAAAATTCGTCGCTAAATGATAATAATTATTTAACTCAATCTTCTATTTTTTTTTAATATTATATCATGCTAATAATTATATGTATGGTTATTAATTATATTTATGAATTAGAAAAACTAAAAATTATTCATAAGAAAAAAAATTAAATTATAAAAAATATTGTACAAACTAATTCATACTTATTTTATAATTATGTAAATAGAGCTAAAATAAATAAATTCAGTATAATAGCAATTAAATAATTATAGTATGATAAATAATTACAAATTATCTGAAGTAGTGTATAAGAGAATGGATATTTAATCATAAATTATCATAAATATTGTGTAAACTTATGAATAATTCATTTTAATTATGTAGAATAGTTATAAAATATTTATAAATTTTGATTAAACCTTTTTTAATTGTATTTATTTCGTATTTAATAAGATCATCGTACCTAAATTATGTTTTATAAAACTTCCAAGGAATCGAGGCACGAAGAGGACTCTTTGCGGCTCGGGGAAGGTCGGGCAAAAACATCTTTTAGCAATTACTAGAGTCATTGACATGAAAAAATATTGAAACTTTCATCGATCTCTTAAAATGTGGATACAAATGTGTTGGAATCGATTGTTTATCAATCGGACATTCCCGACAAAAAGAGATGAATAGTGCCAAAACTTTCATCGAGGTGTTTTTAGGGCTCTGGGGGTGATAACTAGGAGTTTCTTGAGCCTATCACGTATATTTCCACAAGACGAAATATTATTGTTAGTGGAGGAAGAGATGATTTTGCCTTTAAAATAATTTCCTAGTAGGATTGGATGGATCGAGGTTGAAGGTAGCTATTCAAGGGGAATGAGGGTTTAGGGTTTCAGAGGAGTATAAGGTATAGGAGGTGGATGAGATGCTTTCCTTCTTTATTGTCATTATTGGTCCAGTTGAGTCAAGTTGATTCTTATTGTTGTTATCCGTCATCTTGGGTGAGATTAGTTCAACTGTGGTCAAACCCTAATTAAATCAAACCCTAATTCCCTAAAAAAACTATGGTCAAAATAATATATAATTTAGTCAAACCCTAATTTGGGTCAAACCCTAAATATGTCAAACCTTAATTCGGGTCAAACCCTATAGAAGTCAAACCCTAATTCGGGTCAAACCCTAATTAAGTCAATCAGCTATGGTCAAAATAATATATTAATAAATTATATTCCATACGTGTTTGATAACTACCATAAGTGGATTGAGTTGTTAACTTATTTGGATTGGGATGTTAATATATTAATAAATGATAATCATTAGATGTATTTGGAGGAAATTATGTTGGTTGGGTTGTTAAATAGGAAAATACAATTAGAGGTTATTAATTACGGAAATTTTCTTCCGAAAACTTATTACTCAATTTCCTCTTTCGAAAACTTGCCTTAAAAAATTCTTTTTAATTTGCTTAATTATCATACTTATAATTATTAAAATCCTAATTATGGTATTTTACACTTATTTAATTACTAAATAAATAAATTATAATTTAAACACGATTTTTTAAGAAAAAAAAACAGTAGCCGCCGATGGATTTCAGACCCCGTCCGTGCAGGGTGATCGGGCCCCGTCCGCTTCCGGCAGTCGGACCCCGTCCGCGACCGGCGGTCGGACCCCGTCCGCTCCCGGCGGTCGGACCCCGTCCGCGCCCGGCGATCGGACCCCTTCCTCTACGTCGGCGACGACAGCACTCGTCGCGAGCTCCTTCCTCTTCAACGTCCGCGATTTTGTGAGGGGAGCGAGTGAGGTCGAACGAATAGAGTGGTCGGCAGACCAAGTCGGAGGAATGGAGTTGTTGGTGGTGGGAGCAGCGGTGGAGGGGTCGGCGGTGGGAGCAGCGGTCGCCGCCGCCGGCAGTTTGTGGGAGGAGGTTGTGAGGGATGAGTTTGATAGGAGTTAGGGTTAGTTAGATGGAGGGGCAAATTCGTCATATTTTTTGTAACTACAGGCGGCATATAGTAAAACTACGGGCGGCAAATAGCGATTCATAAAAAAAAAATATATTGGTTGGGCCTTATTGAGATGTTTTCGCAAAGTAGTTTAGCGTGGGAAAAAATATAGCGAAAAGCGACTGCACCAATATCCAACCGAAAGATCAATTATGCTTAGAGTTCAGCGGGGCCGGGGACGGGGAGTGGCAGGAACGAAGCGACTGCACCAATATCCAACCGAAAGATCACAACAAGAGAGCCATTGACGACTATGGTGAGTGCTCTTTCTTTCCCCTATTGTAGTCTTGAGGTTTCAATGATCTTGAGCATTGATATGCTTTGCTTTTCTGTTTAAACGAAGCCCTAGGGATCCATGGTCTTCGCTGTGCTTTTATGTTTTCATACGATTCCATGTCTTATGTGTTGCCGTTAGGATGTTCCTGGTCCGGGGAATAAAAAGGTTTGTAAGAGTGATGGCGGCGGTGATGGTGATAGAATCAGTACTCTGCCGCAGAGTCTAATTGAGCACATCTTGAACTTTCTTCCACTACGAGAAGCAGTTAAGACCAGTATCTTGTCATCTGCCTGGAGGCACAAATGGGTGAATCGTCCATCACTCGTATTCGATGCAAGTTTCTGGACGCCATTCCCAGTTGTTGAGACATCTGCCCAGTACTACGCCACTTATGGGGTCGTTCCTCGTACAATCGACAGACTCATATCGGATGTGTTCAGAGTTCTCTGTTACCACAAGGGACCCTTGAGGGAGTTCTCTCTTTCGATCCCTCAACTGAGCAGCTACCCTGCTCTTGTTGATCAGATCTTGCTTTCCTTGCACGAGAAATGTATCGAGAAGTTGTGCATTGCGATCGATGGTTGCAAGCTGCCTAGTCGTCTCTTCTCATTCAGGCAGCTCAAGAAGTTGCAGTTGCTTGCCTGCACGTTCACGTCCTCAGAAATTTCGTTCGATCAATTCAGCATGCTTACATGCCTTGATCTTAGATCAGTTAAGTTCCCGGATGTTGCTGGGGTTTCTCTCGCCATTAGATGCCCATTGCTGTCGTCTTTGATTATGATGGATTGTGGCAGTGCCTTCAACCGCCTCGATATACTGATTGAAGCATCCAGCCTCAGCCTTTTCCATTTTGTGGGGAGCTTCAGCTCTCTGTTGGTCAAGGAGGCTCCACTTCTCAAAGACGTGACTGTCTATCGGACTGTAAGCTTTGTTGATCTTCCTAAGAACAAAGATGAACCCACTAATTTCGTGAAATTATGCGGAGGTTGTCCAGCAGTTGAGCGGCTATCTGTAGCAATGGGGTTGTTCGTGGTAATGTACCACTGCTGTCTTGACCCTTTTTTCTTGGAAGTTTTGAGTTGGCACGACTATTTCTTACGATGAACGAACTCATTGGGCGTTGCAGGACTTGCCACCTCCAAATCTGATAACTTTAACGAGTCCATCACCAAATCTAATGATGCTTAAGCAACTCAGGATGGATGAAATATGTCTCAGCTCTGTGAGGGACGTCTGGGCTTGTCTTTTGTTAATCGAACACTCCCCTAAATTGCAAGAACTCATCATCGGTGTAAGATCTTCAACTCCTCTCGCTCTCTCTCTCTATATATTTTGTGTGCGTTAACTACTGATCTGCACAGAAAGAAAAACTTACTAAATTTTGCTGGATCAGATGAGTTCATAATTGTGTGGATGGTTTCCTCCTTTGATCCTTGAGGTCAAGGATGTAACTTTCTGGGTAGAGGATTTCAATGTGTAGGTTTACTAGTATTCGTTGATTCGGAATTGCAGACCAGGATAGGGGCAAACACGAATGTAGACGTCCAGTTGAGAGTCATACAACGGCTGTGTGAAAGCAGGACGTACAAACCAAAAAGGCTGAAGCAAGTTGAACTGTATCAGTTGCATGGTTTAAAGAAGGAAATGTGTTTCATCCGATGGTTATTATCCGCTTTACCCATGCTTGACAAGATGTTGATAACATTTTCAGCAAATTCACTACCTCATCAACAGATTCAGACCCTAAAAGAGTTGAATGGGTTTCAGCGGCCCTCCAGCAAAGCACAAGTCATAATCTTGTGATCCCACCTTGCGAGATTGAGTAGCAGTAGCCATTTTCTTCTTGATCACACATGGTATTCTTCCTGTGTTGTGCAATGTGTATTTTCGCGGTGGCACCTTGATTTTTGTCCAGGTCTTGTGACTGTTTTTGCTTGCCTATCACTAGTAAAGCTGAATATCTCAGAGTACAGTTTTATATTTTATACATAGAAAACAATGTTCAACACCATTCATATTTAAACAAAATGCGGCATTACAAACAAAAATTATAAATTCTCATATTTAAATAAGTATTTAAAAAAATCACCAAAAAACATTATTTTGTTAGGAGCCAAAAATTGGCATACCGAGCGTACCATTGGTTTTCCCGATACTTCCAAGTCTTTATCAATATTGACTACCATATATAAGGGGTATTCCAGTCAATTTTGTCACATACCATCAATTTGCATACCCATTGAAATAAAATAGGAGGACAAATTTGTATTTAGCTAGAAAAATAAGTTAGGATCGATGGGTAAACTACAATCATGGACTATAATCCATCATCCAAATCCCACCTCAAGAACTTGACCCCAACAGTAATAGACCATCCTTGACCCCCAATAGTATCGATGATTGGTTCATTCTCTGTATCTTTCATGCTACTTGGTGGTTGCCGGTTGGTGTGGCTGCAGCATAATCAACGCATCTTTAAAGACTCACATTCAACAGCTAAGGTCATCGCTCGGAAAGCAGTCATGATGGTTATTTTCTGGCTATCTACTCATAACAAGATTGATAAAGATCATGTCTCTGTTTGGCTTGCTGAATGTTTTCCTAGAATTTAATTTCCCCCTTTCTGTTTTGGATTCGATTTAGCTTTTCCCTTCCCTATTTCAGCGGGGACGGTCCTGTTCGTCTGGCTGTTTTTTATTCTTGTTTCCCGTCTTGTATCGTTCTTCCTTTGTACTTGTGTTCTTTTGTTTCTTTGTTGCTTGTTTTTTCTTCTGTATCAGAACTCCTTCTGGGTTCAGTCCTCCTACGCCTTTGTTCGTGTTTGTTTGTACTACTTTTTCTGTTTGCTTTCTTTAATAAAATCACCATTATAAAAAAATTAATCTTGTATTTTGTGCCAATTTGGTGATAAAAAATTGAATTCATGATCATATTCATAGGCAGAGCGAGGTACTTTGCCCTTATCCTCGGATAGGGGTAACTTTTGGGGAGAGGGAAAAAACACACATATGTTTGAATTAAGAATCGAACTCAACATCTACAAATAACGTACGGATATTTTGAAACTACATCATAAGTCATTATTTGTTCATTAATTGACAAAAAAATGTCTATTTATTGGTTTCATTCATGACACTATTATTCCACAACAATTTGTTGTGTATTATCATATGATGTTATGGTTGATGAGAGATTTGTTGAATTGAAAGAAATTGATGAATTATCTAGGATAATGGTGGATACAAAAGTGCATCAGTTATATCCGTCAGCTGATTTGCTTTTGAAACTAGTTTTGATTATACCAGTTACAACTTACAACTATAAATGTAGAAAGAGCATTTTTTAGATTGAGTTATATTAAGAACAAGTTTTGAAGTTGAATTGGAGATAAGTTGTTTATGTTTGTTTAGTGAAAGACACTCATGTAAACAATGGATATATTTTTATTTTCTTTTATAATATGAAAACACGTCTTTGTTGTTTATGCAAACTAAAATTATATTAGTTGGTTATTTCTTTATTTATGAATGAGTTATTTGAATATTATTACTTTTATTTATATTTATTAAATATTTATATATTTATAATCTAAAACAGAAAAGAGGTAATTTCAAATCTTGCCTTCATTATATTTTGGTATCTTGTTAATCAGCTCCAGCTGGATAGTGTAACCGCTTCATCTTATTAATATGGCAAATATAGATTTACGTAAAAAAAAAAATAATTCACATATTTTACGGTTATCGTGTATATGAAAAATTGAAACGATACACTCATAGTTTGGATTAGATTCTAGACTCGAATTCAATGTAATTTTTGTGTCGAGATTGCTATATATTCAAAAGCATAAACAAGAATATTATTCAGATGCCAATAAATTTCCCCCCTACCCTACCAATTACAGGGAGAGGAGTGCACTCTTCAAGTGAGAGCTGTAACAAAGGTTGTTGCCAGGAATTTTTTTACAAATGTGTCATCTGTTGCTCGGAGGTGGACATGACGGAGGAGAACTTGCCGGCGGCTAACGGAACCGCCGCCAATGGTCAGTACTGTATATACATGAACAATCAATTTCCATTAATTTCCACTAATATTTCCACTTGTTTATTTTCTACGACTATTTTACATACACATACTCTGAAATATGCTATGCAATAGTTATGGAGTAAAAAAAAAAAATTTACTTCTCGTATGGTGGTTAATGAGACGTTTTTACATTTTCGAATGATACAAGTACAACCACGGATATTCATCAATCTGAAAGATTCCAAATTTGAATCACTTAAATATCACCTAAAAACAAATTTACATCACGCTTGTAAAATTCTTAGAAACTTGAGGTCCCCCGATCGATATCTCACGTAATATTTTTCCTATATTGAATGTTTTATTTTGTATTGTCGGCCAAGATATGCTAACGGGTGACTATAATCCTTGCCTTTTTTAATTTCAATAAAGAAATCCTACCAGTTCTATTTTGAAAATTTCTTAAATACATAATATTTTTGCATATAAAAGATACCATTTTACATTATTTGTTAATAATTTGTTTCTTCATTCATTATACATACGTACAGGGAAGAAATCAGACAAGGAAGACGCAATCTCGCCCACCAGCAAAACAAAAGAGTAACAACAAACTCGTATGCCAATGAGGATTATGGATTGGATTTCATTTGCGCCGGTCACTGGCTCAAGGAGGAAGGATTAATAATGAATTTCATGTGTTCGACTATAAGCAATTTATAATAATGCAAATAAAGGCTCGCATAATACAATAAATATTACGAAAATATCTATAGCTATCAGTATCACTCAAAATAATATAATTTGTATTGCAGTTCTCATATTTATGGTGCCAACATCGACCCTTTGAGGTCATATTACTATTTTACTTTTACTATATAAATACTACCACTTATATTTGGAGTCGCTAATAAATTGATTATTTATGTCGAATTGGACAGTGACTCAATGTTAAAATGGGAAAATAATAATTGGAAAAATTTCAAATTTCAATTGTACCTTACTTAATTTCGTCATATTTCATTCGGTATGGCTTCATTCAATTTTCCATCTAGATAGATAGACAAATAAAATTATTAAAAAGAATATTGTGCATCAACAAAATTATATAAAAAAAGGTATGGTGTGAAACCTAACAACCACTACACCTAACCCCACCCTACCTAAATCACCCATTGTCCAAAAAGTGCACGTGGATTGGAAAAATGGAGAACCAAAACAACTCAATCAACCACACGATGTATAATTATGGTTGGTTTGGCTTTGGTGATAGTTTAGTTGAATAGTTATAATTCTGGTATCGTTCATAATATATCGTTTGTTTTAGAAGAAAATTTTGCACAAACAATATAACCGTTATTTGCTTCATATGACATAAACTATCACTTAAAATGAGTGATATTTAGCGAACAAAAACTTGGTACAGTGGTAATACAACTGATTTTCAATCTGACGGTCCCAGAATCGAATCCCTTTAGTAGCACACTAGCACCTAACTATAAAAACAAGTATCACCCTTATATAAAAAAATGAGTGATATTTAAATATCATGCTTTAGGTGAGATTGTTGAGAAAGTTCGAGTAAAATTATTTTATTTTATTTTTATTTCAACTATCTCAAATAAATTTTTATGTGTTATTTTTCTTACAATAAAAATAAAGAGTAAAACTGATATATCCCAAAAAAATATAATTTATTTAAATACTACAATAACTATCAAACAATAATAAATTATAATATAGCAATTTCCTTAATTATATGTATAGTATGTATTATTCGCAATTCATCAGTTTAACTATATCAAAATCAAACCAACCCATATTATCCCAACTAGTTTCTACCCTCAACCAAGATTAGTAACCTTGCCCGTTTCATTGACTAAAGTATTTCGTGTCTGATCCTAAGATAAGAAGGCAAGGTTTGTCAACAATAACTTTTAACCTATTTCACATACTCCAATTTATAATTCTCTATTCCTAGCCTATGCCTGAAACAAAATCTCTTGGCTTTTGGCTCAGGGCCTTACTCAAGCTTTTTGAATCGAACATGTTTGCTCATTAAGCAAAATAGGATTAGCCTACACCCCAAACTATATATAGATTATGGAGAAATTTTTCCCCCAAAATATAAGAGTTAGTAAAAATGTTGTCAGTATACAAATACTTGCACTAAAATTTCTCAAAATACGCAAATTTTGGCGATTCTCTGCATTGTCCAGCGATTTTAATGCTGGTTCGCTAGAGACAGGAGCTAACCAGTCTAGATCATGGCCAACTAAAGCGAACTAGCTTCCAACCAGCCTAAATTGTTGGAGACCATAGCGAACCGGCTAGATCGCAGCAAACTCCAGCAGCTATTGATCCTAAAATCACTAGACACTCCAACGATCTACACTTAACATATGTCAAAACATCAAACGGCTGTAATTTGCACACGATTATCTGATTGTAGCCTAAGAAAAAATTATTTTATGCATAACTACTCAATACGCAGCTGGCCTTCACAATAGACTGCATAGATTCTGTAGATGAAAGAAGATCTCAGAAGCTGAGTTGCAGCTGCTGCACTCTGTGGTAGAAACCGCCCAATTGCTGGAAACGATTGCTATGAACCCAATTGCTTATGGCGATCATCTAGAATCTAGATCATATAAAATAAGGTTGAGAATTTTTGTATACCCAAGATTAAATGATTGTTTACATGTTAGCTGGACAAATTTATGCAGTGGCCAAATGAACATTGTTTCCTGTCTATAAATATATATATATGTACTCAATGCAAGGCCTGCAAAATCAGTAACAAGGCCTGCACCAAAGCAAGGTGCCATGAAAGAGTACTCAATGCACAACATAAGAAGACTAGCATAAATTTCATCTACTTGAGAAGATAATGGCTACGGAAACCACTACCAGTGCGGCTATCACTTGAATATGATTTGTGCAGTGCTGGAGGCCCGCTGAAATCCATTCAACTCTTTCAGAGTTTGTATCTGGTGACTGGGCTCTATATTTGCCGACAATGTGATCCCCATCTTGACAAGCTTGGGTGTAGCGGATAATAACCATCGAATGAAACGTAACTCGTACCGCACACCCTGCAACTTGTTCAATTCCACTTTCTCCAGCCTACTTGCTATGTACTCCCTGGTTTTATCCAGTTTTTTCTTTGGCAGGCTGATAACTTCCTTCTGGTTTGCACCTGCCGTCGTCTGCAAATGCAATCAAAGAAACACCAGTAAGAAGCAAACTTGTATTTTCTTTCCTTTTTTATGTATCCAGTTTCTAACAATAGCTAGACAGGGGATCGCTTACAACAAAGACGTAATTCCTCTGCCCAAAAGTCATAACTCATCTGGTCCAGCAAACAACCCAGACACGCAGAGAGAAAGAGAGAGAGAGAGAGAGAGAGAGAGAGAGTTGAAGATCTCACAGTGATGATGAGTTCTTGCAAGTTGGGGAAGAGTTGGATTAAGATAACAACACTCCACATATCCTGGTAAAAGCTGAGACACACTTCAGTCATCTTCAGTTGCCTAAGCATCATTAGGTTCACAGCTGGATCCGGTTGAAGAATCAGCACTAGGGTTCCCCAGTCCTGTAATACCCAAATGAGTTTTTATTTTACAAAAATAGTTGTTGCCGACGCCCTACTCAAAACTCTTGCCAAGATGACTGTGCGACGGGTCAAGACAGTAGTAGTATGCTCACCTTAAAGAGCTGGAATGCTAAAGAGAGCCGCTCTATTGCTGGACAACCACCACATAATTTCATGAGATTGGAGGGTCCATTGCTCCTAGGATGACCAGCAAAGCTTGCAGTCTGATAGACGGTCACATCTTTGAGAAGTGGAGCCTCCTTGACCCACAGAGAGCTGAAGCTCCCCACACAATGGAGAAGGCCGAGGCTGGGTGCTTCGATCACTATATCTAGACGGTTGAAGGCGCTTCCACAATCATGCATAATCAAAGCAGAAAGCATTGGGCATCCAATAGTGAGAGAAACCCCAGCAACATCCGGGAACTTGACCGATCTAAGATCAAGGCAAGTAAGCATGCTGAATTCCTCGAACGAAATTTTGGACGAAGTGAACACGCAGCCAAACAACTGCAACTTCTTGAGCTGCCTGAATGAGAAGAGACGACTAGGCAGCTTGTACCCATCGATCGCAATGCATAAACTCTCAATCGGTTTGCCATACAAGGAAAACAGGATTTGATCAACATGTGCAGGGTAGCTCCTCAGTTGAGAGATGGAAAGCGAGAACCCCCTCAAGGGTCCCCGGTGGTAACAGAGAACTCTGAACACATTCAACACGAGCTTGTCGATCGTATTAGGAACGGACCCATAAGTGGCATAGTACTGAGCAGACGTCTCAACAACTGGGAATGGCGTCCAAAAACGGTCATCGAATATGAGCGATGGAAGATTAACCCATTTATCCCTCCAGGCAGTTGACAATACACTGGCCTTAGCTGCTTCTCGTAGGGGAAGAAAGGTCAAGATGTGTTCAATTAGACTCTGCGGCAGAGAACTGATTCTATCGCCACCTTCGCTACTGCGAATGGATTTATTCCCCGGAACAGGAACATCCTAAGGACAACACATAGCACAATGGAATCGTATAAGAACATTCAGCACTGCGAAGACTCTGAATTTCTAGGGTTTCGGCTAGAGGGAAAAGGAAAGTAGGAAACCATATAAATGCTCATAATCATTGAAATCCCAATGCCGCAATAGGGAAAACTTTGAAAGAACGACTCACCATGGTCGGCAATGGCTCTCTTGCTTTGATCTTTCTGTTGGATTATTGGTGTAGTCGTCTCCTCCCGGCCACTCCCCGTCTCGGTTGAACTCTTAGCATCGGTGATCGGGAAGACTTCGCTATATTTGATTTTTCCCTCGCTAATTTTGACATTTTGATGAAAACAACCATAATATATTTAGGGTTAATACCTTATTCCGGCTCGAACTATAGTCACGTAATCAACTTTGGTATGTGGTTTCAGAAAGGGTTAAAGACACATTTGGTCACTGAGATTACAAAATCGGGACATGTTTAGTCACTAGAAAAAATTAATATCAAATTTGGTCACTACAATTACTAAAACTCGACACATTTAGTCACTCGCCGTTAGTCTCCGTCCAACTCCGTTAATGAAGTCCGTTAAGTGCTAATGTGGCAAATAGAATTGTCTAATCAGCCGAATATAACCCAACAAAAATAAGACCCGACCCGCCACGCCATTATAACCCGCCACGTCATTAAAACCAACCCAACCCATGACCCAACCCCACCCAACCCTTTTTCCTCTCTAGCTCGCCGCCGCTCTGATTTTCCCTGTTCAGCTCGGCGGCAAGCTTCTTCCTCCACCATCCTCCTCCTCATTCGCTCGCACTCCTGCTCGAGCTCCTCCTCTCGAGCCCGACGGCGGGCCTCTTGCTGCTGTTGCCGAAGGTAATCGTCCACTTCTTTCCCATTCACCCAACACCGATTCCGCTCTGATTTCCCCTGTTCATCTCCATGGCGGCGGGCGTCTTGCTGCTGCTTATCCACTTCTTTCTCCTCGACCCAACTTCTTCTCCGCTCCGATTCTACATGTTCAGCTCGGCGGCGGCGAGCTTCTTCTTTCTCCATCATCCTCCTCATCATCCTCCTCATCATCCGCTCGCACTCCCGCTCGATCTCCTCCTCTCGAGCCCGGCGCCGGGCCTCTTCCTGCTGCTTCTGATTCATCCTGGCCCGAATTTGATTGTCGTACAGCTCGCGGGACCTACCGTCTTTCAGGATCCCGTACGAGAATTGAAGCTTCTGGAAGCTCTGTTTCGAGTGCGGATCGTCGGGGTTCTTGTCGGGATGCAATTGTAGGGGCTTCTGTTTGAACGCTCTGGAGATTTCCGTCTCGGTGGTGGTTGGAGGAGCCGCCGCCGCCGCGGCGGGAGGTTTGGCTGGATAGACTCTGTCGGCCATGGGGATTTAGATTGGGGGAGAGGGATTTGATTTGTCTGGGGAAGTGTTTGGGCTCTGAGAAAAGGGGAAGAAAGTGAAGGGAAATTTTTTTGGAGTGTGGTGGTTTTTGCTTAGGTCCAAAGGGAAGAGATTAAAAAGTGGAGCGGAAAATTTATTAAGCGAGGGATGCTGGCTGTGGAAGGCGGGGACTGGGAGGAAGGAGGGTTGGGTGGGGTGGGGTTGGGTTGGGTCATGGGTTGGGTTGGTTTTAATGACGTGGCGGGTCGGGTTTTATTTTTGTTGGGTTATATCCGGCTGATTAGGCAATTCTGTTTGCCACATCAGCACTTAACGGACTTCATTAACGGAGTTGGACGGAGACTAACGGCGAGTGACTAAATGTGTCCAGTTTTAGTAATTGTAGTGACCAAATTTGATATTAACTTTTTCTAGTGACTAAACATGTCCCGATTTTGTAATCTCAGTGACCAAATGTGTCTTTAACCCGTTTCAGAAATATAATGAAGGCCGGATTTGAAATTACCTATTTTCTATTTTACATTATAAATATATTAATATTTAATAAATATAATAAAAGTAATAATATTTAAATAACTCATTCATAAATAAAGAAATAACCAACTAATATAATTTTAGTTTGCATAAACAACAAAGACGTGTTGTCATATTATAAAAGAAATGAAAAATATATCCATTGTTTACTTGAGTCTCTTTCACTAAACAAACATAAACAAACTTATCCCCAATTCAACTTCAAAGCTTGTTCTTAATATACCTCAATCTAAAAAACGCTCTTTCTACATTTATAATTGTAATTGATAGAATCAAAATTAGTTTCAAAAGCAAATCAACTGACGGATATAACTGATGCACTTTTGTATTCACTATTATCCTAGATAATTCATCAATTTCTTTCAATTTAACAAATCTCTCATCTACCATAACATCATATGATAAACACAACAAATTGTTTGTGGAATAATAGTGTCATGAATGAAACCAATAAATAGACATTTTTTTTGTCAATTAATGAACAAATAATGAGTTATGGTGTAGTTTCAAAATATACGTACGTTATTTATAGATGTTGAGTTACCCAACGAAACTCGTCGAGCAACTTTGTGTTTCTTTTATCCTTTATTGCTTCCCTTGGTCTCGTTAGTGTTTTTTTGCTCGGGTTGCACTGCTTGTGCTCCTGTTTTTTCTTTTGTTCAGTTGTTTTTTTTTTATGTGAAATGGGACTTGTTTTCTTTTTTTTTTCTCCCTTTTAATGCAATTATCACCATTATCAAAAAAGATTAGATGTTGAGTTCGATTCTTATTTCAAACATATGTGGGTTTTTTCCCTCTCCCCAAAAGTTACCCCTATCCGAGGATAAAGGCAAAGTACCCTTGCTCTGCCTATGAATATGATCATGAATACAAGATTAATTTTTTTTATAATGGTGGTTTTATTAAAGAAAGCAAACAGAAAAAGTAGTACAAACAAATACGAACAAAGACTTAGGAGGACTGAACCCAGAAGGAGTTCTGATACAGAAGAAAAAACAAGCAACAAAGAAACAAAAGAGCACAAGTACAAAGGAAGAACGATACAAGATGGGAAACAAGAATAAAAAACTGATTGACGAACAAGACCGTCCCCGCTGAAATAGGGAAGGGAAAAGCTAAATCGAATCCAAAACAGAAAGGGGGAAATTAAATTCTAGGAAAACATTCAGCAAGCCAAACAGAGGCATGATCCTTATTCCTTATCAATCTTGTTATGAGCAGATAGCCAGGAAATAACCATCATGACTTCTTTCCGAGCGATGACTCTTAGCTGTTGAATGTGAGTCTTTAAAGATGCGTTGATTATGTTATGCTGCAGCCACACAAACCGGCAACCACCAAGTAGCATGAAGGATACAGAGAATGAACCAATCGTCGATACTATTGGGGGTCAAGGATGGCCTATTACTGTTGGGGGTCAAGTTCCTGAGGTGGGATTTGGGTGATGGATTATAGTCCATGATTGTAGTTTACCCATCGATCCTCACTTATTTTTCTAACTAAAATTTGTCCTCCTATTTATTTCAATGGGTATGCAAATTGATGGTATGTGACAAAATCGACTGGAATACTGGTAGTCAATATTGATAACGACTTGGATGTATCGAGAAAACCAATTGTACGCTCGGTATGCCAATTTTTGGCTCTTAACAAAATAACGTCTTTTGGTGATTTATTTAAATACGTATTTAAATATGAGAATTTATAATTTTTGTTTGTAATGTCGCATTTTGTTTAAATATGAATGATGCTGTTATTTGTTGGATTTAATTATAAACCTTTGAATGTTGACATATTTAAGTACAACGATATTTTTTTTTAATATCGTATTTACTTACCTTTCAATCCTCACTTGTACTATTTACTTATTTAGAGGTTCGAAGTACGGTACCCCCGGGGAAAAGCTTGACGAGATTCAAGTAATTGTTGGTTGAGAAAGCTTAGATGTCATAGTCCGCATTTAACATTGTTGCCCATCAAAGATGAGGCCAGAATGGCTCCGACTTTGTGGAAAGATTGGAGGCGTCACAGTAGAAGCATTCATCTATTTAGGCTCGAGACTAATTTCTTTCGAATCAACAGTACAGCTCAATAAGCGACCAAACTCCTATCTCCAGCTCTATTTTCCAGTTTGGAGAGGCTGATAATGTCGATGGCCAACATAACCAGGCCCTCGACGAGTTTGATTGCATCACTTGCAATCGTGAGACTTCAAACACAACGACTGACCTTCCGAGCGCAGCATCCATTCTTCGCAGTTGGCTGGATAAATCTATGCAGATTATACAGTGGTCAAATGAACATTGTTTTCTATGTATAAAATATAAAACTGTACTCCGAGATATTCAGCTTTACTAGTGATAGGCAAGCAAAAACAGTCACAAGACCTAGACAAAAAGCAAGGTGCCACCGCGAAAATACACATTGCACAACACAGGAAGAATACCATATGTGATCAAGAAGAAAATGGCTACTGCTACTCAATCTCGCAAGGTGGGATCACAAGATTATGACTTGTGCTTTGCTGGAGGGCCGCTGAAACCCATTCAACTCTTTTAGGGTCTGAATCTGTTGATGAGGTAGTGAATTTGCTGAAAATGTTATCAACATCTTGTCAAGCATGGGTAAAGCGGATAATAACCATCGGATGAAACACATTTCCTTCTTTAAACCATGCAACTGATACAGTTCAACTTGCTTCAGCCTTTTTGGTTTGTACGTCCTGCTTTCACACAGCCGTTGTATGACTCTCAACTGGACGTCTACATTCGTGTTTGCCCCTATCCTGGTCTGCAATTCCGAATCAACGAAAACTAGTAAACCTACACATTGAAATCCTCTACCCAGAAAGTAACATCCTTGACCTCAAGGATCAAAGGAGGAAACCATCCACACAATTATGAACTCATCTGATCCAGCAAAATTTAGTAAGTTTTTCTTTCTGTGCAGATCAGTAGTTAACGCACACAAAATATATAGAGAGAGAGAGCAAGAGGAGTTGAAGAGCTTACACCGATGATGAGTTCTTGCAATTTAGGGGAGTGCTCGATTAACAAAAGACAAGCCCAGACGTCCCTCACAGAGCTGAGACATATTTCATCCATCCTGAGTTGCTTAAGCATCATTAGATTTTATGATGGACTCGTTAAAGTTATCAGATTTGGAGGTGGCAAGTCCTGCAACGCCCAATGAGTTCGTTCATGTAAGAAATAGTCGTGCCAACTCAAAACTTCCAAGAAAAAGGGTCAAGACAGCAGTGGTACATTACCACGAACAACCACATTGCTACAGATAGCCGCTCAACTGCTGGACAACCTCCGCATAATTTCACGAAATTAGTGGGTTCATCTTTGTTCCTAGGAAGATCAACAAAGCTTACAGTCCGATAGACAGTCACGTCTTTGAGAAGTGGAGCCTCCTTGACCAACAGAGAGCTGAAGCTCCCAACAAAATGGAAAAGGCTGAGGCTGGATGCTTCAATCAGTATATCGAGGCGGTTGAAGGCACTGCCAAAATCCATCATAATCAAAGATGACAGCAATGGGCATCTAATGGCGAGAGAAACCCCAGCAACATCCGGGAACTTGGTTAATCTAAGATCAAGGCAAGTAAGCGCGCTGAATTGATCGAACGAAATTCGAGAGGACGTGAACGTGCACGCAAGCAACTGCAACTTCTTGAGCTGCCTGAATGAGAAGAGACGACTAGGCAGCTTGCAACCATCGATCTCAATGCACAACTTCTCGACACATTTCTCGTGCAAGGAAAGCAAGATCTGATCAACAAGAGCAGGGTAGCTGCTCAGTTGAGGGATAGAAAGAGAGAACTCCCTCAAGGGTCCCTTGTGGTAACAGAGAACTCTGAACACATCCGATATGAGTCTGTCGATCGTACGAGGAACGACCCCATAAGTGGCATAGTACTGGGCAGATGTCTCAACAACTGGGAATGGCGTCCAGAAACGGTCATCGAATACGAGTGATGGACGATTCACCCATTTGTGCCTCCAGGCAGATGACAAGATACTGGTCTTAACTGCTTCTCGTAGTGGAAGAAAGGTCAAGATGTGCTCAATTAGACTCTGCGGCAGAGAACTGATTCTATCACCATCATCGCCGCCATCGCTCCTACAAACCTTTTTATTCCCCGGACCAGGAACATCCTAACGGCAACACATAAGACATGGAATCGTATGAAAACATGAACGCACAGCGAAGACCATGAATCCCTAGGGCTTCGTTTAAACAGAAAAGCAAATCATATCAATGCTCAAGATCATTGAAATCTCAAGACTACAATAGGGGAAAGAAAGAGCACTCACCATAGTCGTCAATGGCTGGCTCTCTTGTTGTGATCTTTCGGTTGGATATTGGTGCAGTCGCTTCGTTCCTGCCACTCCCCGTCCCAGGCCCCGCTGAACTCTCTTTCGGTTGTTGTAATGACCCAGGACTACCACTGAGTGAATGGATGACAGCTGGAGGAAGTATAAATAGGAAGAGAGGGGTCGTGTAATAGCTATCTTTGGTCATTTTCCCAGAATTGTTTCCAGAATAGCTTGTAGATAGATATTCATTTGTACTCGTCTCTGTAAAACTCTGCTCCTCCCTTTTGCTGGAATAAACAACGATCCCTATTCCTTACAAGTGGTATTCAGAGCCTTTCTTCCAGCATCAATGGCGCCTGATCTCACTCACAACACTCGCCTTTCTGTTCTTGAGGAGCAAATGTCGTCCGTCGACGCGCAGATGACTTCTATCATCGCGTCGATCGCTGCTTTACAGGATGCTCAAATTCGCCATTCCCAATCGTTCGAGAAGATTGACGCTTCGCTGCAATCGCTTCTGCATCGCTCCTCTCGGTCGATTTCTCCTCAGCGCTCGGGTGAATCAAGTGATCGTGGCGGTGGCCGTTCACACCAGCGTCGGTCGTCGTTCGTCGATCATTGTCCTCGGATAGATCTTCCGTTCTTCAATGGCGTCGATCCTCATTCCTGGCTTCGGAAGTGCGCTAAGTACTTTCGGATTCATTCTATTCCTGATGCAGAGAAGGTGGAGTTGGTTTCGATGTATATGGAAGGTCGCGCTAATGTTTGGTATGAGGGATGGGCGTGCAACCGCCAATACTTGCTGTGGGATGTGTTCGTCGGCGATCTCCTTCACCGTTTTGGTGATAAAGATCAGTTGAACATTGTCGGCGCGTTCAACAAACTACGGCAGGAAGGTTCGGTGACGGCTTACCAAGAGCAATTCGAAGATCTTCGTTCGCGTATGTTGCGATTGAATCCCGGCCTCACTGAGTCGTACTTCATCATGAGCTTCATCAGCGGATTGGAGGACGAGATTCAGCCGCGTGTTCAGATGCTGCTGCCGCCGACGTTGTCTGTGGCGTTTCATCAAGCTCGCCTTGAGGAAATGTCGATTGCAGCCAGGAAGAAGAAGATTCGGCCGCCGGGGAAGTGGTTGCCTTCTTCGAGCGAGTCGGAACCGAAGAAATCTATGGCGGAGCCCTCGTCTACGCCGTCGATTCCACCGGCGAGATCACACAATCCTCGCAATCAAGGCCTGTGTTTCAAATGCGGGGATAAGTACTTTTACGGCCATGTCTGTGCTTCGAAGAAACAGATCCAAGTGCTGCAAGAGGATGAATCTCTCGTGGATAGTGAGGACGAGATTGTGGATCTCGTTCGTTCGGCTGATTGCCCGGAGGAGGTTGAAGTTTCGATGCAGGCTCTCGGCTCGGGATCGGTTGGCCGGGCGTTGCAGATTCCGGCGCGAATTGGTCGTCAGGAGGTGGTGGTTTTGATCGATACCGGGAGTAGCCATACTTTTCTCAGTGAGACCAGAGCTTCCGAGTTGGGATGTAAACTCGACTCAGCCCCACCGATGCGAGTCAAGGTTGCGAACGGGTCGGCTTTACTCAGTAACTCGGTGTGCCGCGATTTTCAGTGGCGGATGCAGGGAACGGAGTTTGCGTTTGATGTACGCACCCTGGATTTGCGGGCTCATGATTTGGTGCTGGGCCTGGACTGGCTAGAGACTGTTAGCCCAATTCAATTGGACCTAAAGCAAAGGCAAATGTCATTTGAGTGGAAGGGGAAGCCACTGACGTTGCAAGGCTTGGTGGCGGAGGCCCAATGTAAGTTGTTGACAGGCAAGTCCTTCCATCGGCTGCTGAAGAAAAAAGTTGCTCAGTTCACAGGTCACCTTTTTTCCCTTTCCCCTGCCGTTTCCTCTCCTTCTTCCTCCACTCCTCCTCCTTTCCTTCAACCCTTGCTCACCCAGTTCTCTGATGTATTCTCAACCCCGACCTCCCTTCCACCACCACGCCAATTTGACCATGCTATTCCTATTGATCCCATGTCCAAGCCCATCAACATCAGACCCTATCGCATACCCCATCACCAAAAGGCGGTCGGCGATAAAATGGTCGGCGAGATGCTGATTTCCCAATTCATTCAACCCAGCCAAAGTCCCTATGCCGCCCCTGTTGTGTTGATTGGCAAGAAAGACGGGACCTGGCGTTTCTGTGTTGATTACCGCCTTTTGAACTCCATCACCATCAAAAACAAATTTCCTATTCCCATCATTGACGACCTGCTTGATGAACTCAATGGAGCCAAGTTTTTTTCCAAACTGGATTTGAGGGCGGGGTACCATCAAATCAGGATGAAGCCAGAAGACCGACACAAAACGGCTTTTCGTACACACCAGGGCCATTACGAATTTCTGGTTATGCCGTTCGGCTTGACCAATGCGCCGGCGACTTTCCAGGCCCTCATGAATCATGTTTTTGCTCCATACCTCCGCAAGTTCATTCTGGTCTTCTTCGACGATATCTTGGTCTATAGCCCCACGACTGATCTTCATCAGGAGCACCTTCATTGCACTCTTCTTTTGCTTCGCCAACATCAACTCTATGCTAAGCTGTCGAAGTGCTCGTTCGGGCAGCCGCAGGTGGAATACCTTGGTCATGTGATTGGTGCGACTGGGGTGTCCACGGAGCCAAGCAAGATTAGTGCGATGGTGAATTGGCCAACTCCGACGACAGTCAAAGCTTTGCGAGGATTTCTTGGACTCACGGGCTATTATCGGAAGTTCGTCCGTCATTACGGCATCATCAGTCGGCCCCTCACCGAGTTGCTGAAGAAGAACTCTTTCAAATGGTCAGCTGCGGCTCACGAGGCTTTCCTGGCTTTGAAGGCTGCTATGAGTTCTGCTCCGGTGTTGGCTCTCCCGGATTTTTCCCTCCCCTTCACTCTGGAAACTGATGCTTGTGGTTCAGGGGTGGGTGTTGTTCTTTCCCAGCAGGGCAGACCAATCGCCTACTTCAGTAAATCATTCGGTGTGAAGAATCAGGGGCGAAGTACTTACGAGAAGGAGTACTTAGCCGTCCTCATGGCGGTCGACCAATGGCGCCACTATTTAGAAGGTCGTCCGTTTACGATTCTGACCGATCACGAAAGCTTGAAATTTCTGTTTCAACAGAAGATCCATACTGCAATTCAGAAGAAAGGACTTGTTAAGCTTCTCGGGTTGGATTTCCAGATTAAGTACCGACGGGGCAAGTTCAATGGTGCTGCCGATGCTCTTTCTCGCAGGTTTGATGGCGATGAGGAAGAGGAGATTTGCTCTGCCTTGTCCACAGTCATTCCCGAATGGATGGTGGAAGTTGAGCAGACATATGACGGAGATCAATGGGTTACAAAGAAGATTGCTGAAGCCATTTTAACACCGTCGGGGCCGTCTTTGTGGTCTTATGCTCAGGGGGTTTTACGATACAAGGGTTCTATTGTTGTCGGTGCGACTGGGTTTATGCGTGAAAAGTTGCTGAAGTTGTTCCATTCCTCGGCTGTCGGGGGGCATTCGGGCGTTCAGGGCACTTATCAGAGGCTTAAATCTCATTTCTATTGGGTTGGAATGAAGGCAGCAGTTCAGGCATGGGTTAAGGCTTGTGATGTCTGCAGTCGTTGCAAAGCCGAGGCGGTGGCTTCCCCGGGGCTTCTTCAGCCTCTTCCCATTCCTCAGCAGGCTTGGCAAGATATCAGTCTCGATTTTGTGGAAGGGCTGCCACATTCTCAGGGGAAGGAGGTCCTGTTCGTGGTCGTGGATCGCTTCACCAAATACGCACACTTCTTCGCCATTTCACATCCTTACACTGCTGAATCGGTCGCCCAGGTCTTCTTTGATAGTGTGTTTCGGCTCCATGGCATGCCAAAGACGATCGTTTCGGATCGTGATTCCACCTTCACCAGTACATTCTGGACTGAGTTCTTCCGGTTGCAGCACGTCGATCTTCATTATTCGACCGCGTACCACCCGCAAACTGACGGCCAGACAGAGAGGGTGAACAGATGTTTGGAGGATTTTCTTCGCTGTATGACTTTTCATCGACCGCAGGATTGGGCTGCTTGGATTACTCTGGCCGAGTGGTGTTATAACACTCATTTTCAGGTCAGCATCCGTCTCACGCCATTCGAAGCATTGTATGGGTTCCCTCCGTCTTTCTTTGGTATGTCGGGCATGGAGTCCTCGCCGGTTGGGGCTTTCGAGGATCGCTTTGCTCGTCAACAGCAGCTAGTCACTTTTCTGCGTCACAACTTGTCGGTGGCCCAGAACAGGCAGAAACAATATGCTGACAAGCGGCGATCGGACCGTTCTTTTCAGGTGGGAGAGCATGTGTATCTCCGCCTCCAGCCTTTTAGGCAGGGGTCGGTGGTTGGCAGGCAGGGTTGCAAGCTGGGACCTCGGTTTTTCGGGCCTTACCAGGTGTTGTCTCGAGTGGGGGCTGTGGCCTACACATTGCGGCTGCCAGATGACGCCAGGATTCATCCGGTTTTCCACGTGTCGCAGTTGAAGCGCTGCTGCTCACCCACCATTCCTACTGTGTCTGCTCTTCCCGGGGTTGATGAACAAGGGACGTTGAAGCTACAGCCGGAAGAGGTTCTTGCTCGCCGTTTTGTGCAGCAGGGAGACCGCGCCGTGACGCAGATTCTGGTTCATTGGACTCATCAGTCTCCTGCCGACGCCACTTGGGAGGATTATCATTCATTCAGGTTTCAGTTCCCTTCCTTTCCAGCTTGAGGACAAGCTGTGTCTTTACGGGGGAGGATTTGTAATGACCCAGGACTACCACTAAGTGAATGGATGACAGCTGGAGGAAGTATAAATAGGAAGAGAGGGGTCGTGTAATAGCTATCATTGGTCATTTTCCCAGAATTGTTTCCAGAATAGCTTGTAGATAGATATTCATTTGTACTCGTCTCTGTAAAACTCTGCTCCTCCCTTTTGCTGGAATAAACAACGATCCCTATTCCTTACAGTTGTATATTGGTGCAGTCGCTTTCGCTATATTTTTTTTCCCACGCTAAACTACTTTGCGAAAACATCTCAATAAGGCCCCAATTTTGGCAACTTGAACGAAAATAGCCCCAACTTTTGAAAAATGACAAATATGATTGTGAGTTGAGTTCAAATTTTTATGATAGATCAACGAAGTGGCTGAGTACAAAGTTAATCATCAAACTTGATGGATGATCTTTATAACTCTGAATCCAAATCATCAGAGGACTAGACATTTCAATATGAACATAGATGTTATTGTGTCATATAGAGGTCATGTTTACATTACAATAAGTTTCCTAGAAGTTTTATCATTCATTTCGTAATAAAATACAAATGAATTCAAAACTGTAACTAGTCAAGATTCCTTTTACTCTTGCTCCCTGCGGTGTCCTCTATAACAAGAAACTCCTAACATGAAACGAATTGAATAGAATGACAATTTGGCGTACTAATGAAGTATCATACCCACTTCAAAGTAAGGACGAAAAAATCACCAATAAAATGTTGACGTTTTCAAGTACAACATTTCCCGTTATGAACGGACGTTCAAAATTGTTTTGTTAACAAGTTTCGATTAGTCCATTTTCCCGGTAAATGGTTTGTCCTGCTTTTATGGGGTCATTTGTTTACCATACCAATTGATTTGAGGCTCAAATCAACTTAGTGGTGGATTTGGTTAGAACTAACGTATTATTTGGTTCTGCTGAAATGAAGATGCATTGTTGTGCCAATGAGTTATTCAGGAATATATGACTTCATTGATTTTTGGAATGATCAACTGGAATAGGTGATATTCCTTCAATCTCTCCCGTCTCAACTTTGAAACCATTTTGCTCCTGCTCAAGTTTGAAAGTGGCAAATCTTGCAGGATGTCATGGTTGAGCCTTGCCTATAAAAACTGTAAATGATGAACGAAAAGCTTGTTAACACTTGTAGTTGCCCTAACCCCTCTCATTCATAACAAAGAAAACATAAGTCTCCTGGGCATGCACATCACTCTCGAACTTGCAGTAGACATTGGGAACATATACAATGCACAAGTTAATCCAACAGAAAAGACAGCACAGAAATGCCTACAAATTCCTTGAAGGAGAATGAGCTGCCTGTGCGACCACAACCTACTCAATGCCCACCATAAGTAGACTCTATATTGATCGACTATTTATGAAGAAGAAGAAAAAACGGCTCTACTGAAACCAGGGTGACTATATTATGATTTGTGCTTTGCTGGAGGCTCGCTGAAATCCATTCAAATCTCTGAGAGTCTGAACCTGGTCAGTAGGTAGCGAATTAGGAGAAAACTTGATCTCCATCTTGTGAAGCTCAGGTGAAGCAGCTAATAACCATTGAATGAAACACATCTCAGTCCTTACACCCTGCAACTGATTGATCTCCACTTTCACCAGCTTACTTGCTCTGTGTTTCATCATTCCACACACCCTCTGTACGGCAGATATCAGGTTGAGAGCTATGTACTGGGTTGCGATTGGCCTGGTCTGGAATTCCAAGCAAAGAATAACAGTAAGAAGCGAGGTTGCTTTCTTTTTAATCTATAACATAAGGTAGACACGGAGCAGCTTACAATCAAAAAAATCCACTAGCCAAAAGTTACATCCTCAATGACAAGGAAAAAAGGCCGAAACCACCCAATAATTGTAAACTTATCTAGTTCAGCAAAATTCCGCATGTCTTTCTTTCTGTGGACTTCAGTATTTAGTGCACACACCACATATAGAGAGGGGGGGCTGAGAATCTCACAGTGATGATGAGGTCTTGCAAGTTTGGGGCAACTATGATTAAGAGCATACTACGACAGACATCCCTCGGACAGCTGAGACACAATTCACCCAACCTTAGTTCCCTTAGCATCATTAACCTAAATACTTGACCAGGTTGAATAATCAGTTCTTTAGTTCCCAAGTCCTGCAATTCCCAAATGAGATTATGTAAGAAAGAGCTCTGGCTACTCAAAACTTCCAAGATGCGTAATTGGTAAAGACAGTAGTAGTATATTTACCCTGAAGAGCTCAAGTGATATACATAGTCGCTCTATTGCTGGACAACCACCACATAATTTCTTGAAATTAGTGGGTTCATCTATGCTCTTAGAAGGATCAACTAACCTTGCAGTCTGATGGACAGTAACATCTTTGAGATGCGGAGCATATTTGACACACACAGAACTGAAGCTTCCTACGCAGTTGAGATAGCTCAGGCTGGGTGCTTCGCTCAGTATATCAAGATAGGTGCCATTAGCAGTGACACAAGCAATCATAGTAAAAGTTAAAAGCAATGGGCATCTGATGATGAAAGAAACCCGCTGAGCATTTGGGAATTTGATCCATTTAAGTTCAAGGCTAGTAAGCATACTGAATTCCTCGAACGAAATTTGGGAGGAAGTGAACGTGCAGGCGTACAGACGCAACTTCTTGAGCTGCCTGAATGAGAAGAGACAATGAGGAACCTTGTATTCATTGATCCAAATGAATAAGCTCTCAATACATTTCTCGTACAAGGAAAGCAAAATCTGATCAACATAAGCAGGAAAGGTACTCAGTTGAGGGATAGAAAGAGAGAACTCCCTCAAGGGTCCCCTATGGTGGCAGAGAACTGTGAACACATTCAACATTAGTTTCTCGATGCTAATAGGATAGACCCCATTACTACCGAGATACCAAGGAGCCACCCCAACTGGGTATGGGTTCCAGAACTGACCATCGAATGCAAGCGATGGACTATTCACCCATTTGCGCCTCCAGCCAGTTGACAGGACACTAGTCTTGGCCGCTTCTCGTAATGGAAGAAAGGTCAAGATGTGCTCAATCAGATTGTTTGGCAGAGAACTGATTCTATCGCCATCATCGCCACTTCCTTCTCTGCAAATGGTTTTATTCCTGGGACCAGGAACATCCTATGAACAACATAAGGCAAGGGAATAGTATCAAATAGAAGCAACACTGGAAATACCCACAACAGGGGGTAAAGGAAACGAGAAAAAGCCTGAATTGCTAGGGTTTTAGCTAAATGCTTTTGAGTCATACGTCTCAAGCCGCGGACTTGGAATTGCCAAATCCCCAATACCTAACACAACCACTAGAGTAAGAAGAGTGCCTAATAAAGAATCAAGCTTTGAATCCTATGATGGGATTTCACTAACAAAGTTACTGCTGCAAGAGTTCCCCTCGTCTTTCCTCGACATGGGCCATTAGGGAAACTGATCATGTTGAGTTCCGAAGAGGAGGATTAGGATTCTGACGATAGAATGGTAAGAAAACTAGAAGACCGACTCACCATCGTCGTCAAAGGCTCTCCGGTTGGATGTTGTTGCTTCCCGCTGCTCGCTGTGCCTGCTGAACTGTACGGTGATCGCCTGATCGGAGGCCTTCCGCTAAACTTTACAATGGAAATTTATGAACCGTTTAAATTGCGAGTAATAGCCGGTGTTTTTATGGGCTAAATTGACTATTGGTTCCTAATTTTATAAGATTCTCACGTTCGCCGCTGACATCTTTTTTCTATAACAAAACAGCTATATTTTTTTTTTTTCCAAGGCAAGCACAAAGGGCATGGGACAAAGACTCGACACGATTACAAGACCGACTGAACTCAACGCGATAGTCTATAAGCAACCAGACTATCGATGAAAGAGCCTGATAAAGCCACTACATGGGCAGCTCTAAAGAAGCTCCGAGGAGCAAAGACACGACACTGACGAGAAAAAAACAAAAACAAATATCCAACATCTCCAAGATAGTCCCGTCAGCGAGTGTAGTTTCCTCCAACAGAATATGCAGAATGACCAACATCGGGTTGCCACTTGCCACAAAAAGCCACGACAAAGAAACCAAAATTGTATTAGATATCTTCGACAAAGCTTGCTTAAATACTCTAAATTTTATGTAAAAGCGAATAAAATTGTACTATCACCTGATAGATCGATGAAATTTATTTCAGTTACATAAATTCCTTTCATACCATATGAGCACCTGCAAAATGAAAAAAAAAAAAAACACGACTATGGTGCTAAAAATATCTATCCTAAAAATTAAAAACATGCAGTATAATCTGCACTCTCGAATATACATCGCCAATGGTGTGATACAACACTCAACGTAAATCAAGACAACAATTAAGGAGATTATAAAATAGCTTTTGAAAAACCATTTAAATAAGTGAAAGCAGTTTAAATTCAATAATTACCTTGATCTCCAAAATCAGGGAAGATAAAAGCAATTTTATACGAACTCAATGATGTCAATAAAATTGGGGAAGAAATTAACTAAATAATAGACCCGCAGTCCGCACGATGAATGAGATACAGGAAACAAAAAAGGAGTCAATTAAGAATAAAGTAATTACAAATAATTAGCAATGAAGTTAAAAAAATTTAAACTTACCCATAAGTGATATACCTGCATGTACCGAGTTGCCGTCAGAAGCCCACAATTAATGGAAACATTAATTAGCAAATTCATTATAAAAGGTAAAAGGATGATAAATGTAAATAAAATTTAAAATTCACGGAAGTTCATGACAAGCTAATTTGAAAATGAGTAACCCCAATTAATGGAATGGAATAAGATTGAATTCAAATATTCAATGCATGCGGACAGAGACATAATTAAGTATTTAATATTGAATTCAAAAGGGAAAGACTATGATTTCGGGGCAGTTACCTCAATTAAAGGAATAATAATAGAAAATGTCGCCGGCGAAATGAAATCCGATCACCGGGAAAAAAATCCGGCAAGGGACAGAGGGCGATCCACCAAATCTGTTGGTCACACATGCGAAAATTTCATCCCGGGGTGAATCTTGCCGGAAGAGGTGTAGAGTCCCTCCGATTCCATGCTTACTCTAGGAGAGTAGGAGTCCCGATAATAGATTGTTCACTGGGAACAATATAGCCTTATGGCAAGAATCCGAGTTCCACCGAGGTGAACTATAATATTCAACCCGAAAGATACTAAGATAGTAATCCGGATTATGAAAATTGTTTTGTTCATCTCCCGAGCTGTCTAGCTCAACATGCTTTTTGGATGGTACATACCGATTGAGGATAGAAGCGACGGAATACAAATCTAGGAAAGGCACAAAACTGAGGAGTAAAAACACAGGAATAGAGGTACTTACCGGAATCACCGAAGGCGGCGTCGCAGGGGCGGTCTTGGAACCAATCTAGAATGCGTAATTCTCAATGCTGACAAAGCCCTTTTGGGGATTGATTTGAGAGGAACTAGACTGGAGTCTGGAGTCTCTGTGTGTCATTACACCTTTCAGCAGTTCAGCTTCTCGTCACAGTCTCCTTCCTTCCTCACTGTTTCAGATTTGCCGATATAACAAAACAGCTATTGACTCTACGTATTTGATTGATCTTGTCCGTCCAATTTCATTAAATTTATTTGACCTAATGTTAACTCTCTAAGTTTGATTATTTATTAGATAATATGTCAATTAGAATGAAAATTTAATATTTTTTTACACCACTTCACCAGGAGCACAAATTCTTATTGTTCACTAGATATACATGTAAGAAAGTTATAAAGTCAATGAAAACCTTGCAATGTAGCCATGGTTTATGGATTTGAAGTGAAGGATTCAAAATATAGGATCTAGGTAAGATGCTAAACACAAAACTAGTAAGCTTTAACACAAGTATTTTATATTACTCTATAAATAATTAGATTTTGTATTCGAAAAACCGTGATAACCTCGAATACATGGGCCAGTGAGGATAGTAATGCCTGAATGTCTTATTTGTCATCATGCTCCAAGTTCATGGTACCATTAGAATCCCACCAAGAAAGGATTCTAATTTCTAAGACGTTAATGTATTACTATTCCTCAAATGAAGAATTTGGCATCTTAGAATGTTTTTCATATCCATGGAATACAATAAGTTTGATACTTATAACCAAATAATTTTCAAAACCAAATGTGTTTGATTTTCCTACCAAATTTGAGGAGAAAAAATATGTGGTTGATTTGCCTACCAAATCTCAAAACCAAATGTTTTTCAAAAAAAATCTCAAACCCAAAAGTAACAAGCAAACGACATCTATGGTGGTTTTGCTATCTTGACATTGTATGTACAATATCAAATATTCCATACTCCACACATCCAGCTGGAAAAATTTACCAATAAGATCTACATAAATCATGACATGTGTATGAGTTATCGACTATGTTGCTTGTCATGTAGGGTTCTGTTGAAGCCCGGATACTCCCTCTTCCACGTGTCACTTCCCGCTGCCCCACGCCGAGCGCTTGGACCCTGCAGGACGGGCGCCTAGAGGGCTACCCCCGTCCGTTAGCACTCCAACGATCAAGTCAGGTGCAACTCTAGAGAGAGAAGTGAAGAAAGAAGTTTAGTGTGAGAAAGACCAACCTGCTTAAATGCTACCTACCAAGTGCTATTTATACTACTTGAGCTTCTCGACCAAGCTCCGACCAACTCCTGCCACCAAGGCTTATGTCAGCCTAGCATTAAATGCTTGGTCTCCCCTGGCGCCTACGCGCCTACACGTGGCATACCGCCCATTTTCCACGTCGGGGCGCATAGGGGGACCACCTGCTTCGTGGCGCCCTCCTGAGCTTGTCCACCTGTACTCCCTTGTCTGCGAGCCTATTTTGTCGCCATGCGCCCCTGCTCCTTTGTAACCACTTGGATCATACTCTTATGGGCCATAGATAGGCTTCGGGCCCAACAGACTCTTAACTTTTATGAGCACCTTTCCCCCATCTCAATAAGGCCCATTAGGCTTTTAACTATCATGGGCTCCTCTCTACTACCCCAACAATTGCCCCCCAGTTAGGTGTTCACTGGTGAGCGCCTAACTATGTGATCAGGCTTTGTGCTACCATGAGGCGCTCGAATTTGCTTTGCATAAGCCTATGCGCCCCTATCCTAAGCAATGCGCCTTTGGTGTTTACTTCACGTTGCCCCCCTGCCTTTTTAGATGAGCTCGCACCTAGGTTCGGGCGCGTGAAAGAAAGAAAACAGGAGGCGCGTAACCGCGATCCTCATCATTCCATCTGGTTTTGAACAATCAAGTAGGCGCACGGTCCCGTTCTGACCACGCCTTATCGACTTGCACATGCTCACTCACTAAGGCGCCTGCTCGCACCTAGGTTTGAGCGCATGAAAGAAGGCCCACAAGAGGCGCGTAACCATGATCCTCACCATTTTGGACCATCAAGGAGGCGCACGGCCCCGCTCTTACCAAGCGCATGACCGTGCGCGTGACCGTACCTCCTGCCCCCCACTCGGTGTGCGTTCAAATTTTTGAATTTCAAAATTCAAATTTTGAACGGAGGGCGAGGATTGGATCGTTCAGCGCGCGATTTCCTAGGTGACTCTTCACCTTCCCCCTTCCTCTTATAAATATTCATCCTCCTCTCCATTCTATCTCATTCGCCCCAAATCTGCTTCTCTCTCTACTTCCTCTCTCTAGCTGCTCCTTCTCCGTCGCACCCACGCGCCCTCCTTTCTCACATCTGTGCGCCCCTCGTGCTCTCACTGAGACATGTCGAAGTCAGACTCCGGCGCAGCGCCGACCGCCGCCGACAAGGAGGCGCCTAGCGTTCTTGATGTCTTGGAGCAGCATCTGTCACCTGACCCGATGCGAAACCAGGATCAGAGAGCGCCTCGATCGACCAAGGAGGCGCCCAAGCAATCGAAGGGTAATTCTTCTTCTTCCGCACCTGCTAACGTCGAGGCGCCTGCTGATGTTGAGGCAACACAAGTCGTCAACGCGCCTGAAGATTCAGAGGCGCCTTCGGAGTCCGCGCCCACGGCCTCCACCACTAATCAAGGTATTTTTCCTATGCCCCCCTGACTTCCAATCCTTCAATTTTGCATCGCTCCTTTGTTAGGCGCCCATTAGCGATCTTTAGGTCCGTGTCATTGACCGAGGACGATTGGCTTTTAGGCTCCGCGCCTACCTCGGACTCCGCGCCCGCGTCGTCAGAATCAGGTGAGGTGCAAAATTCGCCACCCTCCACCAACTCAGGCGCCCCTGAAGATGGGTCGTTCAAGATAGTTGATTGGGTCGATACTTGGCCACAGGGTGGGGCGCCTGAGAACATAAGCAACCTACCCGTGACTCGAGCTGGGCCAGACCATGTGGCCACTGTCAAAATAGCGGAGTTGCACCGCCTGATAACCTCGTGCAACTTACCCCGGAGCTGGTCTTATGCGCCTGCTCCACGGGTCACCAGGGTAGGCGTTGTGGGTCCTCGCTGGATTGGGATCTACCGAGAGTACTTCAAGTTCGGGTTGCGCTTTCCCTTGGATTCGATCTTACAGGGAATTCTGGATACATGCGCCTGTCCTATTGGGCGCCTGTCACCGTCCATCTTCCTGATACACATTTTGTTTAAGTTGAAATGCCGTCAGAACGACATCACTCCCACGTTCAAGCTCTTCAAGCATTTTTTCACAATGACCAGCAGTAAAAATTGCATATCTATACAGAGGCGCCTGGATATTCCGGGACATTTTTTGGAGGACTGCCCTAAGTTGGGGCGTGCGTGGTATAGGTCTTATTTCTTCATCAAGCCTCACGCAGACTCTTTTTACGAGAGTGGCGGCCGATTTACCCGGCGTTGGAGGGTTGGCAACACCTCTCACTTTAATGTTGACGAGGAGTTAACCAAGGAGGAGAAAGAGCATGCGCGCCTGTTGTCCCTTCATCCAGTTAATTTGAGTTCGACAGCCGCGCGCGTCCCTGTTCTTCATGAGTACTATGCTGATGGTGGGTAGGCGCATAGTGTTGCACTTGCCTCGCTGCTGGCTCATGCGCCTGTATCATACGTTTATGGCTAACTTTACTTTTTTAACTATGTTGTGTATTCTCTTTGCAGGCGTGGACTATACCTCCGTGGCGTCATTGATGAAAACCCAACTGGAGAATATGGGTCTGGACTATCAAGCGCCTGTATTCCCAGGACAGGGCGCCTCCAAGAAGAAAGGCGCCTCGAAGAAAGGAAATAAGAGAACCGCCCCAACACAAGCACGGACCGGAAGCAAAACCCATGCGCCTGATGCTCCGGCCGGCAGCGGGAAGGGGCGCTCGAGTCCGCGAAGGATTAAGCCACAGAAAGTGGCGAAGGCTTCGGAAGGGAATGCGCCTGTTGATGCGCAACCTGAGGAGGGGGCGCCTCTTATTGTTCAGTCCGATCCGGAGCTGGACATTGATGAAGTCCCCCTGTCGAGCAAGCTTAAAAGGAAGTCGGAGGGTGGCGCATCGACTCATGTCAAAAAGCAGCGCATAGCAGAGGAGGCGCCTGTCCACCCCTTTGTGCAAAAGTGGTTGCAACCCCCGAAGCACAGGGTCGTGGTGGAATGCTCGGATAGGTCTGCGTTGGAGCGAGGCTCAGCGCTTGGTTTCGCTTTCCGCGCCTCCGAAGTACTGCGAGCGCCCTCGAGTGTTGAAGGGAAGAATCTCTGGGGAGAAGTGGCGCGCATAGCGGCTGAGGTACAACAAGCGCTTTCCAACTTAACTTAATTATATTCTCCAACTTTTATCATGATGCCATGCTATGCGCCCCTATTAATGATTTTTGATTTGTTATTTTGACTTCGGTGCAGATGCTCCATTTGGCCAAGAATGGCGCCATGGCGCAAGAGGCGCTGCGCTTAGGCGAAGTGGAAGCCAACAATGCGCTCAGCGTTGCACAGGATGACTTGGAGACAGCGCGGAGGCGCCAAGCAGAGTTGGCGAAGGAATGTGAGGACGCCAATCTCGAGGCTGCTAAGGCTGCGTCCCTCTTACAGACAAGGGTGGATGAAGAAAAGGAGAAGCTGAAGGTGGCGCATGAGGCCCAACTTGAGATTCTCAAGAGGGCGCATCACGAAGAAGTGGCCAGGTTGGTGAAGGAGAAGGCTGATCTGGACAAGGAAAATGGCGATCAGAGGAGTGAAATCGATCTCCTCCTTGATGAGAAGAAGGCCTTGCAAAAGGAGAATAAGCAACTGATCCGAGAAGGAAAGAGGCGCCAGGAGGAAATAGAGGCGCTTAAGAGCGAGAAGCCTGCCCCCCAAGCGCCTGGGTCAGATTTGGCTGTGAAGGCGCAGGCGTCCTTGAACAGCATTCTCATCCTGAAGAGGAAGCTGGAGGCTGACCATCCCAATATCAAGTGGGATGTCAAGGAGATGGCTAATTTCGTCATCGATTTTATGGCTAGTGGGCGCCCCATCGTTGATGCCACTCCTGCGCCCCCCGTTGATCAAGAGGACGAAGCTGCTTCGGGGTCGAGCTCAGAGTCTAGTGATGACGAGGATGGGGACGAGGAAAACTGATCTTCTACTCCATATTGGATTTTCATGCGTTTAATCCTTTTGTTGCGCCCACCGAGGCGCCTTGTGTTTTATTTGACTATCTTTGTTTGGGTTGTATTATGAACAAACAAGTGTCTATTTTTCTTTCGTAACCTTTGCGCCTTAGTTTTACGGGCGCCTTACCTCAACATTTAACTTAGTATTTTATCTCATCATATGGGGCGCATTGCATAAGTGCTGTGGGCGCTTAAGAGGGCGCAATGATTTGGTGCTGTGGGCGCATGAAAGGGCACAATGATTCGGTGCTATGGGCGCATTAGAGGGCACAATGATTCGGTGCTATGGGCGCATTAGAGGGCACAATGATTCGGTGCTATGGGCGCATTAGGGCACTAGAAAACGATCCCAAAGACAAGTTAACGAAACAAGTATGTATATATATATTCCGACTTACAAAATATCCTCTGGGCGCTACCATCGGGCGCTTTAAATATCCCGGGCGCGGAGGGGCGCTTTACACTAATGTTGTGGGCGCATAAGGGCGCTTTACAAGACTACTATGAGCGAACTATTGAAGTAGCTATGTATATGTATGCCGATTTCAAAAAACCACCTCAGGGCGCGATTACCGGGCGCTTTAAGTATCCCGGGCGCTAATACTACGGGCGCATTTAGGCGTCTCCCCATGCTCCTACCAAAAAAAACCACACCCCGAGGCTTGATATTTGTTCTCACGTTTACCACAAACCGGGCGCCCCTTCTGGAACCCTACCATCATCTTCCATCACATTGGCCTCCACAACCCCATACCTTCGCAAATTCTGGGCATTCCACGTTCTCTTCACCTTCTTTCCCGACAAATGCTCCAACTTAAATGTGCCAGGCCCCACTACCTCTTGCACACGATACGGTCCCTTCCACTTTGGTGCCAACTTTCCATCGGTAGCTTTCGGTCGAAAGTCACGCTTCAACACTAAACTCCCAACCACAATGCCGTGTGGGCGCATCTTCTTGTTGTAGTACCGAGCCACTTGTGATTTCATGGCCTCCAGGCGCAGAGCAGCGCTCTCGCGGCGTTCGTCCAGGAGATCCAACTCGTTGATTCGCTCCTGCGCCTCCATCGACTCGTCCCTATGCGCCATCCGAAAAGTCGGGATACGCACCTCCACGGGCAACACCGCCTCGCTCCCATACGTAAGCGCAAAGGGCGTATCACCTGTTGCAACTTTGAAAGTGGTTCTATGCGCCCATAAGACGCTTGGGAGTTCTTCCACCCAGTTTCCCTTGGCCTCGGTGAGCCTGGTATGTAGTCCATGTAAAATGCTTTTGTTAGCCGCCTCAGCTTGCCCATTTGCTTGTGGGTAAGCCACGGAGGAGAACCTTAAGACCACCCCATTTTCGTCACAAAAGTCGATGAACTTCTTGCAATCGAACTGCTTGCCGTGGTCGGTGATGATCGACTCTGGCAGTCCAAACCTTGTGAAAATGTTCTTCCTTGTAAACTTCCGCACCTGCACTTCCGTGATGGATGCCAATGGTTCCGCCTCAATCCACTTCGTAAAGTAATCGATAGCCACAATTAAGTATTTGAACTGCCCGGGCGCCTTTGGGAAGGGTCCTAGTAGGTCCATCCCCCATTGAGCAAATGGCCAGGCGCTTACGTTTCCCTGCATGGGCGCCCCTGGCACATGTATGTCGTTGGCATGGATTTGACATTGATGGCATCCGGCCACATGCTTCCCAGCGTCAGCTCTCATTGTCGGCCAATAATATCCCTGCCTTAACAACACCTTCTCCAGGCTCCGAGCCCCTGCGTGCATGCCACACGTTCCTTGGTGGACTTCCGCAATGGCCTCTTGTCCTTCAGCTTCTGTGAGGCACCGAAGATAGGTGCCGGAGTGAGACCTCTTATATAGCACTCCCTCCATGATGACACATCGCGCTGCCTTCCTTCTCAAGCGCCAAGCCTCTTTCGGGTCCTCCGGGACCACCCCTTGCTTTAGGAACAACATAATGGGCGCCATCCACCCATCCGATGCCTCTCCGAGGAAATTCGCCATCACCCTTTCCTCTCGTGGGGCCTCTTTGGTAACTATCACCTTTCTTTCCTCTCCAAAGTCCAGCGCCGTGGCCAACTTCGATAGGGCGTCTGCATGGGCATTCTCTTCTCTTGGGATATGTGTGAAGGTCACCTCCCGAAACCACGCACACTTTTCTTTGACGGCACGGACGTACACGCTTAGCGCCTCCTCCTTGACCTCATATACATCGTTCAACTGATTGACCACCAGCGCTGAGTCGGTTTGGACATTAACCTTCTGGGCGCCTAGCTCCCTTGCCATGTGAAGCCCTGCTAACACAGCTTCATACTCCGCCGCATTGTTCGTCTTAAGTGTTGCGAATCGTAGGGCAACTTCATGCATGGCGCCCAGGGGGCTAATGAGCACGATACCAGCTCCTGCACCGGATCTACTTGCGGCTCCATCTACCTGAACTTGCCAACACTCTTCCACACCACTCCCCATATCAACTACTCCTTCAGCCACAAAATCAGCCAACACTTGAGCCTTTATGGCTGGTCGGGGCGCATAGCTGACGTCGAATTCGCTCAGCTGAACAGCCCACTTAACCAGACGCCCAGACACATCCATGGACCCCAAAACCGTTCGGAGAGGTAAGTTTGTGAGCACGATGATGCTATGAGCCTGGAAGTAGGGCCTGAGTTTGTTTGCCGCCATTACCACCGCCAGCGCCGCTTTCTCAATGGGCGCATACCGCGTTTCATGCACCGCCATGGTACGACTTACATAGTACACCGGTCGTTCCTCATTCGTCGAAGGATCTTTAGACACCAACACCGCACTCACAGCAATTCGGGAGACCGCAATGTACAAATATAAAGTCTCTTTAGGCCTGGGCGCCGTCATCACCGTAGGCGCGACCAGCAACTTCTTCAGATCTCCGAACGCCTCATCACACTCCTCCGTCCACTTAAATTTGCTAGCCTTCTTCAATGTTCGGAAGAAAGGGGCGCCCCTATCCGAGGACCTCGGAATGAAGCGCCCAAGCGCTGCCAACCTTCCCGTCAATCCCTGCACCTCCTTCGGTGTTCGGGGAGGCGCCAACCTCATAATTGCTTCAACTTGCTTGGGATTGGCCTCGATTCCTCTCTTCGTGATCATGAATCCCAAAAACTTGCCAGCCTCCGCAAGGAACACACACTTCTGTGGGTTTAGACGTAGCTTATACGAGCGCATAGTCTCAAATGTCTCACGCAAGTCCATGATGTGGTCCTGGCGCCTCTTACTCTTCACAATCAAATCGTCGACGTATGCCTCCACATTCCTTCCCAACTGCCTCCTAAAGATTTGATTCACCATACGCTGATACGTGGCACCCGCATTCTTCAACCCAAATGCCATCACCTTATAGCAGAAGTTACCAAAGGGCGTCATGAAGGCGGTCTTCGCTCTGTCCTCCTCCACCATGGGAATCTGATGATACCCCGAAAACATATCAAGGAAGCTGAGCGCCTCGTGGTAAGCCGTGGCGTCCACTAATATATCAATGCGAGGCATGGGGTAGGCGTCTGTTGGGCACGCCCGATTAAGGTTTGTGAAGTCCACACACATCCTCCAATCTCCCGACGGCTTTGGGACGAACACTACATTCGATAGCCATGTGATGTATCTGGCTTCTTCAACGAACCCAGCCTCGAGCAACTTATCGACTTCCTTCCTTAGAGCTTCTTCCTTCTCTTGGGTCAAGTTCCTTCGCTTTTGTTGGACGGGCTTCTTTCCCTCCTCGACGGCCAATCGATGCGCCGCCACATTTGGTGACACTCCCGGCATGTCCTGGGGGCTCCAAGCGAATAGCTCCCCAAATTCTCGCAACAATTCGATCAAGGGCGCCTCATGTGTTCAGGAGCCTGTGCTGACACTCGTACCTGCCTGTCCAGGCGCCCTACTTCGATCGGTACCATGAACTCATCATCCATAGGCTCTGCTCTAGGCGCGTCCTCCGATCGAACGTCTATGTTGTTTACCCGGTGTCTTCGTGCGCTCTTCCTTTTTCCTTCCTCTTCTCGAGCATAGCGGGGGGCGCATTCTCCTCGTGAAATTCCTATGCCTTGTGGGGCAACGAACTTCAATGTTTGGTGGCAAGTCGAAGCTACCCCATTGAATAACGCCAACAGTGGTCTTCCCAGTATGACATTGTACGGCGAGGGGCAATCCACTATCCCAAACTCCACGGCATGTGTCACTCGGTGTACTTCGTCGCCCAATGTTACCGGAAGGCGCACACGCCCGATCACATGGGCAGGCGCTCCCGAAAACCCTATCAGCACCGACTCGGAGGGGCTCACCAACTCCGGCGCCAGCTGCATGCGCTCGAACGTGCTTTTGAACAAAACATCCATCGAACTTCCCGTATCCACCAACATCCTCTTGACCTTACACCCTGCAATGATTCCCTGGATCTCCAAAGCTTCCTCCGAAGGCACCTGACATGCTTCTTCCGCCTCCTGATTAAAGCATATTTGCACCGCCGCCTTCGCCTCCACAGATGCGGCCCGGAGGCGCCTAGACCGGTCCAACTTGTCCCGCAAATCGACGGTTCCGGTTATGGATTCCACCGTGAGCCTAACCCGGTTGGGTTCTCCTTCCTGATTCAACTCGAATGGAGGTGGGGGTATTTCAAGTAGAGGAGGGTGGGCCTCCAGCGCTGGGAGGTTACCAGGCGCCTGTTGTACGACGGGAGGAGTGGGCGCCTTAGGTCCAGCCACCACAGCAGGCGCTGGCCTCGTCTCTCTTGTGACATACGCGCGGTGCGTCCTCTCTTCCGTCTTTCTTATGAAGTCGTTGAGCATTCCTCGATCAGCTAACGTCTGCAACTCCGATTTCAGTTGGTAGCAATCGGCCGTGTGATGTCCCTTATCCCGGTGAAAGTCACAATATCGATCAAGGTTCCGCTCGTTTGGTTGTCCCCGCATAGGTCCCGGCCAGCGCACATGGTATCCTCTGTCCTTCACGTATTGCAGAATGTTTTTCAGAGAGTCGTTGTATTCCGTGAAATTTCCCGCACTCCTGGGTGGTGGGCGCTGACCATCCATCCTCCTTGGTGGAGCGTTGTTCATAATGAATGGCCTAGGCGCCTGGCGCATCTCCACTTCTTCTCTACCAACACGCCTTTTCTCTGCCCTCCTCGCGGCCAACGTTTCCTCCAAGGCAATAACCTTCTGAACCCTTCGATCCAGATCTTCAGTTGACACTACCGCCCTCTTAGACAACACACGACACAACTCCTCACTATTTGTGCACTCCTCCAGACACACTCCCAGGACTGGCGGTTGCACATCTTTTACGGCCATGGCGACCGAAATCCAGCGGTCATAGAATTCTCTAAGCGCCTCCCCCTCTCTCTGCTTGATTTTAAACAAAGCGCCTATAGTCAACGTCCGCCTCTTACGGCTGGCAAATTTGGACAAGAATAGCTCTGCAAATTGCTCAAAGCACTCTATGCGCCCCTCCTCCAACTGATGATACCAATCCAAAACTACCCCTGCGAACGTCGAAGGGAACACCTTACACAACGTGGCATCCGTGCTATTGTACAATTGCATCTTCGTGAAATAGCTATTCAGATGATCTTCTGGGTCAGTGACTCCATCATAGCTGGTCAGCGGTGGGAGTGTAGTTCCTGCTGGCTCCATTAACACACTTTGCGCCAAGGGTTGTCTGATCCCGAAGCGCCTGGCCTGACGTTTGGGCGTCCATGGGTTCTGTTCTTCCGGCACTGGGATGGTCCACTCGCCTGGCGCCCTCCACGCGCCCGGGCGCCTGGGTGGTGTTACCTCAGGATTAATACCCTCATAGCTCGGGCGCCCATACTCGCTAACCTCCGAATCATCCATGAGCCTGTCCCTCTTCCTCACTGGGGGGCTGTACTCCCTTGTATCAACGCTCCTTCCTCCTTCCAATTCCCTCCGAAGCATTGCTATCGCTCGATCTTGGTCAACAATAATCTTGAACAGCTCCCTCTTTGACACCGAATCACTCTCCATAGACGGGCGCTCGCGGCTCTCGTCCTCCACGTCCATGCTCACTATCGGGCTTGACCTCCGCTCACTCCCCTCCGGACTGGAATTCTCCGTTCTCGCATCCTCGGCGCCTACACTTCCAACATTCAAGTCCTCCATCCTTTCCATCTTGCCGAGCGCCCCCTATCTGGCGCGCCAATTGTAGAAGCCCGGATACTCCCTCTTCCACGTGTCACTTCCCGCTGCCCCACGCCGAGCGCTTGGACCCTGCAGGACGGGCGCCTAGAGGGCTACCCCCGTCCGTTAGCACTCCAACGATCAAGTCAGGTGCAACTCTAGAGAGAGAAGTGAAGAAAGAAGTTTAGTGTGAGAAAGACCAACCTGCTTAAATGCTACCTACCAAGTGCTATTTATACTACTTGAGCTTCTCGACCAAGCTCCGACCAACTCCTGCCACCAAGGCTTATGTCAGCCTAGCATTAAATGCTTGGTCTCCCCTGGCGCCTACGCGCCTACACGTGGCATACCGCTCATTTTCCACGTCGGGGCGCATAGGGGGACCACCTGCTTCGTGGCGCCCTCCTGAGCTTGTCCACCTGTACTCCCTTGTCTGCGAGCCTATTTTGTCGCCATGCGCCCCTGCTCCTTTGTAACCACTTGGATCATACTCTTATGGGCCATAGATAGGCTTCGGGCCCAACAGACTCTTAACTTTTATGAGCACCTTTCCCCCATCTCAATAAGGCCCATTAGGCTTTTAACTATCATGGGCTCCTCTCTACTACCCCAACAGGTTCATCCAACCGAACAACAACTTCATGTCTTTTTAATGTCAGCACCAAAAAACATCTAACCTTGTTAGACCCACATAAACTCTTTTGGCTTCAATGGCTGAGCTATGTATATTTGATTTTGAATTATAAGATGTAAATCATATATTAAATAAATATTGAATGGTGATAACAATAGACTATTAACCCTTCATCCATAAGTCTAGATCACTTATAAGTGGAAACTTGTCATAGTATTATTACTCTAAATATCGAATTAAACTTGACATCTGATAATCGTTAATTATCGGAGAATAAGAGAGGAAAAATAAAAAACAATGTAAGAATTTTCCAAAAGCCAGACAAATAAATTTTGTCTAGAATATTATGATTTTGGAATCTCGAATTTAAGAATCCACCACTTGTACGAATATGAACAATACACATTCTTTTGAGATCCCAAAATTGCCATGAAAATGTTCTCTTTAGGAAACGATATACAAAAATTATCAATAAAAAATTTCGTATTCTTCAATGGGTATTGAGCATGGTCCATGAAATCGTACCGTACCTACGGTTTAATCACGAAATATCAGTATTGGAGGCTAAATCGATAGACGGTAGTTAACGATCTAACGGTTGAACTACGATTAAACCACGATGTTATCATAAAATATCATATCGCTGATTTTTTCGGTACGATATCCGGTACTGTTTCATGGACCATGGTATTGAGTATTTTCAATCTTGCCGGGTCCGCCTTTTACCATTTTGTCGTTTACATTGTCACTCTGTCAAACCCTAACAACCAGCAAACTCGTCTCCTTCCTCCCTCTTCCATATCACCAACTGGAAGAAGAAGGGTACTGACGAAGGAAGGGAAAGATCGCCATTAATCCTCCAACAATGAACTCCACGCTCGCCACTTCCTTCCTCCATCTCAAAGTACCTTCTTCTTCCTCCTCCCTCTCCTCCTTCAATTCAACATCCCAACTCCCCCCTCTTCTCAATTCCACCAGGATCGCCCACCCGCAACCTTCTTCCATTCCCACCATTACAGCATGTCTACCAAACCCACACCCACCCTTAATCATCCAGCGCCTCAAAACCCTCGCCAAAGCCGCCGTCTTGATCGCCGCCTCTGCTTCCGCCGCCGCCCATTTCTCCGTTCTCCACCCGGCCAAAGCCGAACCCCCTGCAGCAGCCGCAGCTACTCTGGCTGAAGAAATCCCGGCCACCATCGAAGAGGAAGAGCAACTGGATCCACAGAAGGATGAGGACTCTTCTTCCTCGTCTTCTTCCTCGTTCGCCTCTCCTTTGTCCGAGTTTCTCGTGGGCAACACCGAAGCCGTTGAGTCTCTGAAGTCTCTGCTGCAGCAGAAGCTCGAGAGCCGGGAAGACGAGGAGGCTCTCAAGATCCTGACCCGTCTCGTCGCCGCCCAGCCCGCGGCGGTGGAGTGGAAGTTCTTGATGGCGAGGTTGTACAACGAGATGGGTCAGTCCCAGAATGCCCGCAAGGTGTTCGAGGAAATTCTATCTGTGAACCCTCTGTCGTTCGAGGCTCTTTTCGAGAATGCGCTGCTCATGGACAAGAGTGGGGAAGGGGAGGCGGTGATCGCGAGGCTGGAAAATGCTCTGCAGATAGCGGAAGAGGAGAACAAGGTGAAGGAAGCTCGAGACGTGAGGCTGATAATGGCGCAGATACAGTTCCTGCAGAAGAACATAGAGGAGGCGATGAGGATATACCAGGAGCTGTCGAAGGAAGATCCCAAGGATTTCCGGCCGTATTTCTGCAGGGGAATGATCTACAGTCTGCTGGATAAGAACGAGGAGGCGAAGCAGCAGTTCCTAAAGTATCGAGAGCTCTCGCCGAAGAAGTTTGAGGTGGATGGATACCTGAGGACTCCATTGTCAAGAATGAAGGTTTTTGGGCCGAGTGATGAGAACTGAGCTCCTGGTATATGGGAGGAAAGGGCGGGAATAACAATGGAGAGAGTTGAATTCCTCCATACTAGGACTATCAAGGAAACCACATTTGGGTAGAGTTTGTTCCTCTTTTGCTTCTTTATAGTTTATCCTTGAAATTTTTTTACCTGATTTTGTGCAACACATTACAGACTGCAGATAATGTGTTTGAAAGTTAAGAAATAAAAGGGAAGAGAGATCTCAATCAGTTGCAGTTTTGAGGCAGCCATTGATTGATTGATGTAGAAAATCTCTCTTGAATTGTAGACTGACCATGTACCAACTTACATAATGTGGTTGAGACTGCTTAGCAAAAGCTTATTTTCTCTATTTTTTACCTTTCTCGTGGGCGATCTACATGTTCAGACACGGGATTCTAAATTCCAGAGAGATCAACCTGAGATTCTCTTCTTCCTTGATTTTGCCCACTTTGAACTGTTGCTTGCTGGTGGGTGACATGAGCAGGATCATCAACATGAGATGTCTTCATGATGCGCATTTTGACCTTCCAAGTCCATGGAAGGCTGACAATGTCGCTCTTCCACAATCTCGTTCTGAAACTCGCACCAGCCTCCAGAGCACAAAATGCATTGTAGCAACCAACATTGTGTGATAGACGAACAGCTTACCATGTGCCTGATGAAACCATGATTGTAATGATCTTAATTCGCGATCTTTGATATTACGATCTTAATGAGCTTTGGTTCTTAAAATTCGCGGCAAAAGCATCAACAGAATTTCTGATGTGATTTTACAAACCCGATTCACAATTGTTGTGCAACGTTAAAACCTTCTTGAATTCCTATCATTTGTGTTTGATAAAGCCAAGCATAGTTGATGAACCTAAGGCAGTTTTGGGTTCATTAAAAACAAATAGCAGTTTCATCAAAAGCATACCTGCACCCTTACTTCCTGGCTTGCGTCCCTGGAGTTCCTTTCCGAGGAAACAAAATCTCCCCGAAGTTCAAACTGGCAAGGGTTGCTCCAAACCTAATGCAAAGAAGGGAATCCATATGTTAAGAGAAGGAGCCATCTGGTTTCAGAAGGTTGAAACATGAACATTAAGTGTTTTACATTAGCCACAAACCAAATTCATAGTCACACTTTCTCATACTGCTCAAAATAGATACCTACAGAAGTACTAATTCGTTCCGCAGAAAGGTAGCTATGCTGCCATACAACAGAGACCCAGAAGAGTAACAACAGTTATCGTATTAGTTAGTATATAATAATGCAACAGACATCCAACACTCGTTCAAATTTAGACATGTCACAGCCGTTATAACCTATGTTTTTGCACAGAAATGCTGAAAAATGGGCAATCGTTAATGTTGGCACTTGGCATCAACTAAGGGAAGAACACTTGAGTGAGAAACAAATATTATTCCTAAAAGAGAAAGCACACACAAGCATGGAAGACATTAAAAGACATTTGTTGAACTAGATTTTGCCACCTGAATGAGTGGAGGAACTTGGTACTACAATGTAACAACATGGAGTAAGAGTACGAGTAAGACATAGCTAAAAGTAAAGGTCATACTCATATATTCTTTCTTCCTTGAAAACTTTGGCTTCTCCTCTTCTGATTTAGTGCAAACCGCCTTGCCATGGCAGGATTATAGAACTTCCTCATGTGCTCAGAGAGTTTGTGGATGGCTTTTAGATTACCAGTCACTGAAAGCTGCATGAGGAAGGAGTCAAACTGCCGATAAGGCAGCTTCATGCCCTTATCAACAATCTCTTCTACAAGACAACATGCATCCTCCATCTTATTGCAATGGAAGAGCCCATCAATCATCACACTATAGGTATCGACATCTCTATCGCACCCTCTTTTCTCCATTTCATCCCAAGTCTCACAAGCACCATCATAATCATCCATCTTAAAAAACATAGAGATCAGCATGTTATACGTCTGCACACTAGGCAGACACTCAACCTCAAACATTTGCCCATACAGCCTGAGTGCTGCATCAGCTTCTTTGTTCTTGCAAAGCACATTTAGGAAACAGTTGTAAGTAACTATATCAGGAGGATAACCTTTGTCTCCCATCTCTTTCAAAAACCGGTATGCTTCATCCGTCTTGCCAGCTGTATACATTCCTTCAATCATTTCTGTGTATGTTGGGACGTCTGGAAGGCAACCACTTGCAGTCATATGCTCTATAAGTTTCGAGCACTCATCCATTCTATCATTCTGAACTAGAGCTACAATCATTATGGCATAGGTCTTTGCAGTAGGAGAAGAAAGTGTCGAACCTTTGGTTCTCATGAACTCAAATAGACCAGCAGCCTCGTCCACCATGCCAGCTCTACAAAATGAATCGATAGCAGTATTATAAGTAAAGTTATCAGGTGGGAGACCAAGCTCGATCATTTCATCGAGAACCTTCATAGCTCTAGTCGGGTTCCTAACTCTGCACCACCCGAAGAACAAGATGTTATACGTATTGCTATCTGGCTTAATCTTACTCTTCAACTTTTTAAACAAAGCTTCAGCATCCTCAACGAGACAGCTCTTGCACAAAGCATCCAGAAGCAAGTTGAAAGCATTGATCTCTGGCTGAGTCTTCACCCGAATCCTCTTCTTCTTAGCAAATTTCTGAACATGGGTGAGATACTTCAGCGTGTAATCTCTCAAAATCTTCAACAGAACCTCCGTGGGAACATTCTTCCTGTTGCCCCTCTTCATGTAATCCAGCATATCACACACAATCCGAAACTGCTTCACTTTGTACTTGGTGCTCGACAAAATGTCCATCATTTCGTTGTAGGCACAAGCCTCGTGCGCATAATCTTCCTGCCGCCCTGCCCATGTGAAGAATCTGAATGCCGTCTTTTCATCGTAACGAAGCCTGTGAAGAACCTCGAGGACCAAATCAGTGGTGAGTTGTAAACCAAGCTGCTCCAGTGCTTCCTCCATGTGAAGATTCTGCTTGGGCTGTAATGAATCGGAGGTTCCCAATATAGTTTCACACAGTCTTTCTGTCTGGAGCTCGATAAGGTCATTGTGCCTCCTAGCTGGACTAAGGGTTTGCTCTGACACAACAGCCATTTGAGTACAATACAAACGCCAATCATTCTTGAAGGGAAATCTGGGCGCAATGAAACCAGCGATTGCCGAAGTACGGGGAACTGAAGGAGAAATGCTTGCGGAGAAGGGATTGAAACCGCAGAATGTTTCAAGAGCTGATAAAGAGCAACGGAATCTTCGCATCATGACATCCCTAGAATTGTTTTGGCGACGACGGATTGGACATGGACGAATCTTACGGCTGGTTGAACATCAGCCTACGTCCGAGAATCGGAGATGAAAGAGATGTTAAGAAGCACAAATACCGGCCGGCGGCGGAAGGATGGAACGGCGGGTGAGAAAGGTGGACTGGGTACAGAGGAAGCTGAGAAGTGATGAGCGGGGATGCCAAACAACACTCTCCGCTTTCGAACTCAACTACAGATTGGTAACCCAAGTCTTCGAATATTTTTAACACTGAAAGCGTACAATAACAACAACATCAGAGTGGCGCAGCGGAAGCGTGGTGGGCCCATAACCCACAGGTCCCTGGATCGAAACCAGGCTCTGATAGATAATTGTTTTTTCGTTTCTGCTGTTTATTTCTTCCCAGTCTTTCAACCAACGATGCAACCAGCACCCTCTACTCCTTCAGAACTCCATCTTGCTTGCCTACTGCTGGGTTTTAACCACAATCCAAGGTAACAATGGACATGAAGCATTGGTGGAAGTGCACCATTTCTGCTGTTTATTTCGGCTCAGTCTTTTAACCAACGATGCAACCAAGCACCCTCTATTCCTTCAGAACTCCATCTTGCTTGCCAGCTGCTGGGTTTTAACTTTTAACCACAATCCAAAGGTAACAATGGACATGAAGCATTGGTGGAAGTGCACCACAATCATTCTCAGATAGTGTCTCCATCAACTGCAGACGGCGAGACTTCTTCAAAAACGGAACAATCATCTTCAGCTTCTGGTTCACTGGTAGCAAAACCATAAGCCACAATGGAACATATTGTGGAAAACAATGACGAGTGAAGGCAAGCTCTAGTGGAAAGAAAGATGTTACTATATTAGCTGTTCAACTTACCCATGAGCTATCACAGAAAGTTGTGACAAAAGCCTTAGATTAACACACTATTACAAAGGGGCACTTTTCAGCTTCAACTGGTTGATTCTCCACAGCACAAATGAAGTAACAGTATTAACTTTTCACAAATTTTGCTAACAAATGAGCGTGTAGCCAAAATTACAAACACCACCAGGTACCTGCTACGATTAAGCCAGCAGGCCAGTAGTAGACAGTCTTAAGTCAGTTTGGTCTTCTTGGATTTCTCTGCAACTTCATCCTCTGCTTCCTCCGAGCTTTCGTCTTCGTCGTCAACCAACTCATCAGGAACATCAGCAGGAACGTTATGCTTGGTGATGAATTCCTTCAGTATCCTCATGCTTTCTTCTTTCATGGCAACCAGTTCCTCGGAGATGGTAGCTCCTTCCCCTTTCGTGGCTGCCACTGAATGCGTCTCGGAGCCAAGTCTGAATGTGGCTTTCACACGGATCCCATTTTCATTACCACCGTCAACCTCCATTCTCTCTCACAAACAGATTCTGCAAAATCAGGCGGCACATTCATTCAGACATCAAAGAGTTAAACATTTTCTTCATCCCATCCACCAATGATTTGCACTTACAAACCAAGAAAACGGAATCAAATCATTCAATTTATAATTTTCTTCTTGATTATCCTTTTGGCAGCAGCAGCAGCAGTAGCAGAAGCAAACACAGAAGGGAGAAATATTGGATATTCACATCTACTACTTTGTTTGTGTGGGCGAAATAAGGAGGAGATTTACCTCGGATGGGAAACGGCGGAGAAGTGAGGGTTTCTAAGGCGGGGCAAACGCGCCGGAAGGAGGTTGAATCGGCGGAGGAAGGAGGCCAGGGAGAGCAGCAGCGGCGGCGGCGGCGGCGGCGAGGCTAGGGTGTGCGGGAGGGGAGTAAGTTGAGGATGATGGTGGTGTTTTCGGAGGAAGGGTAAGGCCCTGCTTTACTGGAGATCGGGCTTTGGGCTCCTTTTGCTGTAAGAGAAAATTGGGCTTTTATGTTGGGCCTGTATCGAACAAAAAACTATCGACCGTTGGGCTCTAGTGTGTATTACTGCGAAAGAGAAACGCTACGGGTAGGCCTAGTCTTCAGTCTTCACCCATCCTCATTCCACAGATCAAGAATCCTTATCCGACAAGGAAAAGGAAAACACAAAGAGAAAGGAAGAAACGATTATATAGCACAATGAAAGAGTCCATGCTCTAGCCCTGGGTATAAATACTTCACCGTATGACAGAAAATCAACACTGAAAAAACTTAGAAGCTCACTGGGTTAGTCGGATCGGGTTTTGTTTTTTTTTTTTTCTTTTTCGTTCTCAGGTAGCATTGTATTTAGGCATGCAGGGGAGGGCTATGAAGCCGGTGTGCAAACCCAGTGCGGATAGGATCACCAACCTTCCTGCGGATGTGACACTGCGGATTCTCGAGCTCTTACCTGTCAAAGAGGCTGCAAAAATGGCCGCATTGTCGACGACGTGGAGGAGCCACTGGAGAAGTGTTCGTCGACTTGTGTTCGACAACGATTTCGCTGGTGCTAAATCGAACAAGATGATGGACAGGTTAATGCTGAACATTTACAGAGTTCTGCTGCTCCACGACGGGCCAATAAGAAAGTTTTATTTCTTGTTTTCTGGATTGCGGTCCTGCTATGAGTATGAGATCGATCAGATCATTGTCCATCTTTCTAACAGAGGTCTCCAGGCATTCGCCCTCGCCCTTTCTCCTGCAGACAGTCATGTCTACAAGTTACATTCCGCCCTGTTTTCCTGTCTTCAACTGGATGAGCTGAGTCTTGTTTGCTGCGAATTCAGACAGCCATCGTGGTTTGTGGGGTTTGGTAAGCTTAAGAATCTTTGCGTGATGCGAGTAGCCCTGCCTGCTGATTTCTTTGAGAATTTCCTTACCAAGTGCCCGATGCTTCAAGTTTTGTTGGTCGTTCATTGTGTTGGTCCTGGTAATCTTCAACTTGTGGCTCCACGTCTCCGAAAATTCACCTTCCGTGGGAATCTGAAGAAGATCAGCTTCAAGCATACTCCATTTCTGAACTCTGTTTCTATTGCTCTCAATGGCCACCGCGAAGAAGTCGAGAAGCCTGTTGACACTGTAGCTTTATTTGCTTCCCTCCCATCACTCCAAACATTTGCAGTCGACTTTCAACTCCTACAAGTAAGTTCGCTTGTCTGTCAATTCCTCCACTGTGATAGCTACTCGTACTAATTTGGGGTTTTCTCTTTATAATCAGTACTTTGCCCCAGTTCATATCAATGAACCCAATAGGCTTCCCACTCTTATCCGGTTAAGAAACGTCAGAATAACGCATCTTGATTTGGGTAGCTTGGAGAAAGCGGCTGCTTTTGTCTCTCTGATCATGAAATCGCCCAACTTGCTTGCGCTCACAATTAAGGTGTTTTTTTTTTTTTTGTGTGTCTCTCTTTGCATATGTGACTGTTGATATGACTTGAATCGGTTTAGACCCACATGGAGAAGTACTATAAATACTTCTCATACTCCTCTGTAATCTGTAATCTCCTCGATATAGTGAAACTGGCTCTCTCTCGCCCGTGGACTAGCTAACACACATCGTGTTAGTGAACCACGTAAATCGTGTGTCTGTGTTCTTTCGATTCTCGCTCTCGTATTCTTGCTTTATCGATTCCGGCAATTTCCCGATCCGTAGCAGCGCGTTTATAACAGTGACCATATATATAGATTCTGGTCTCTGATCTAACTTAAATGTTTTTGGTAAAATGTTCATATCATGGTAGCTGGACAGTAGCCATCAAACTCATCCCGCCAATAATGAGGCGGTCACAAACATTCGAAGGTCGTTGGAAGCAGAGGAGCGTCGTGGAGTCTGGTTTTGTTTGCGGCATCTTAGAGAGTTTACAATTCAGGATTGTCTGGCTACACAGAGCGAGCTGGACCTGTTGAGGTTCGTGCTGGCCACTGTTCCGTCACTAGAGCGTGTGTCCATCAAGTCGTTGGATAGATTGGCCTACAATACGAGAATCGAATTCATGAAGAAGGTGATGACGTACAAGCGTGCCTCTGCAAATGCAACAGTTGTATGTGACTGAAAAAGGACAAAGAGAAAGAGTTACAAATTTGGTTTCCCCATTGGTGTCTCATTTAGGATGATGCTGCTGCTTTCGTTGTTTGGAGTGGGGACAGTAAGAGTTAGTGCTCTATGATCGTACAAGAAGATTTATGTACAATACTTAATGTGATCTTTTTCTGATTTCTTTGAGAATGCACTTCATATGTTGGAGGGACTCAAAGACTTCAGATTCAGGCACTCTAGATGAGCTAGCTAGACTGAAATGGCCAACAATGCAAATCAAGACACTTATTATGACTATTCCTAAGGTCGGGAACAGAACTAAGGTCGACAAGGTTTAGAGGAAGTTATCATCATCATCAAGTTTAGTTTATTGTCAATGTTTAGACTTTTAGTTTGAGTTATGTTTGTTTTAATTTAATTGTTCTTCAAAAGCAAGTTGGTATGATTTGTCTTGTAGTGTCAAGCTTGAGTATTTAAAACCAAGTACGAATGAGAAACACCCAAGGATTCTAGGGTTCCATTTTCCACAACTCATCTTTGTTGTTAATCGTTACTACTTATTGAAAATCCATCTTAAAAAAACGCAAGTGTCAAAGTTATCATCCGACCAGTCCGATCAAGACAAAATCGAGGAATAAATAGTAGCAGCATTGCAACTTAGCAGAGGAACAATGAAACTAGGAGAGTCAGCCAGAAAGCACAAAAAAGAGGATATATGAGCCAAACGATCAATGATTATATATTCGGTTAAGTAGCAGTTAAGCGAGAAGCATTAGGCGCGCAAATCTGGAGTATTAGCGCCAAATTATATATATAGAGAGGGACGATTTACTTAATAATTGAGAATGCTTATGTAATTTTTAGTAAATACGGTGAATTTCATTTGTAAATTTCATCTCAATTTCTCGAAATTTCTAAAATTAGTGTTAGTTTCCCCATAATTCAAAAATATAGAATTAATATCGAACACTTAAATCACTACAAAAAAACAGGGCTGTAACGAGGGGAAATGTGCTGAGGGTATCCATTCCCATCGGTAAAAGTACCCTATCAACGACCACGTTGCATTCCTATCGGTATTGGGGTCAAAGAGTGGTATTGACAAATAGTCCCCCTCGTTAATTGTGGAAAATATTTCAGATTTTAGTGCGCCAACTTTTTTTGGTTTGAAACTTTCAAAGGCCGCCAATTAATTGGTTTAAGCGGCAATTTGCTTTTCCCCAGTCCGCACTGTAGCTCAATCAAATTAAAAATATATTTAAAACCCTTGAAGTTTATCCAAAAAATCTTGTGGACAAGAATTCTCCTTTATCCCACCCACTCCCTTATCACTTGAGACTTAACACATCCCCGATCTCTACTCCATCTCCCATAAAATCTCTTTCTCGTTTCAAAAGTACATGCTTTTCTGCTTAAGCCTTATGCCTTATCCCGATGAATCTCTTCCACTTTCAGATTTACCCATTGCCTTCAATGGCCGACCCAAATCTTACACATTACCAGATCTACCCATCTCTAACTTCTTCAAAATTCATCAACCTCAAACTTTTCCTTTGTTCGGTAAACATCTAAATCTCCAGATCTGAAAACGCAAGCTCCAACTAGATTTCCAACAAGCTCCGCCGAGATCCATCAAAATCTGCAACCTCTTCTGCTGCTGGGCGAAATCGCACCCCTCGCCAGCCTCCTTCGGCAAGGTTGTTGATGGTCCTTCGATACCGACCCTCTCTGTCACTAGGCCTTCCTCTGCCTCCCTCCGTTCACCATATAAATCTCGCTTTCAGAAGAGAAAATGACAAAGCTACAAGTTTGATAGAAAGGAGTAGCTAGATTGATTAATGTCGGCAGTAGTAGGCTCATAGTATGAGACTTTTTTTATAATTGTAGTATTTAATGCTTGACCTGCTAAGTATTATCTTCTAGCTCGATTTTACTTTTCTTTTGCTTCAACGATGACTCTTTGTGATTGTATTTGTATGATTGGAAGGTTGTAGCCAATAGGCTTATGAAATAAGATTTGGAACGTTGGGTAATTTTTTTTGAGTTCGCACGACCAATCGAGGCAAATCATTTCGATGACAAAGTTTGAAATCAATTAATTAATATCATTGTGATTTCCTTATAATTATGACTGGCTAATTGCCCATTAATTATAAAGGTTTTTCTGTATTAATTCTTAGCATCAACGAGAGGAAACTGCTCCCTCGTAAAAGGTTTTAACGAGAGGGTAAGAGATTCCGGTCGTTAATGATCTTTACCGGCAAAGCCTGTAACGAAGGGAAGCTTCCCCTCGTTAATAGCTTTTCACGAGGGTTTTTGGCCTTTTAACGACCGTTTTTCACCATCGTTAAAACCACTTTTTTTTGTAGTGAATGTATCGTTAACTTATAATGACGTATAAAATATAGCATGTATCAATTAATGACGCACATACGTAAGCATACCTATAGATCGGGTAAGTTGAAATTTTTAGTATTAATGGCTTATTATACTACTTTTTATTTCTATTCGGTTCTGACAACATTGATTAATTAATTGATTTAGTTATTTACAAATTAAAATAAATCGTGTATACTCTTATGTTTTAGCAACATTATAAGAATAATTTCATTTTCGTCTACTAAAGGTGTGTCAATTATGATTGGTTTTTAGTAGTGTGTCAGAGATTTAGAATTTGTACTTTTGTATCGACGATAGTAGGAACGAAAATCTTGAACGGAGGTGTATCAATTTTGTGAGTCCACTATTCCTATATCGAGCTATGTACTTTACTCGACTCAACTCGTGGTGGCCGGTTCGAATTAATCCCTTGGCTGGATTGGTAAAGAGCTCCGATGGATGGGAGACGGCTAAGGTGATGATGGGTGTTTGGGATTGCTTTGGTTTTAAACTTGTGTTATTTTGGATTATTGGGACAATACTATAGCAACAAGGTACGTACGTAGTAGCAATTTAGGATTGATAGATACCAAAATATAATATTGGTTTCACTCAATTCCAGAAATTAATGCAGTCAAACAAACAAAGCCTCAACTTTGTCTATTGTTATTACAAATGCAAACACAGCGGGGGTAGAGTAGCTACCTCTCAGTCTTGCTTTTGGTGTTCAGCTAGCCGCTGAGGATTTGGTAGAGAGAACTGAATTACGTACGATAATACAAGATTCCATGCATGCATAAAAACAGAAGCAAAACGCGTAATTAATTGGAGCGGATAGGGTGCAAAACTCGATCGTATCAGCGTATCATCACCATGTCATGTGATACGAGTACAATGATACGATCGGGGTTTTGCATAGGCGGCAGGGCCGGGTTTTGTACCAGGACCCCGCCAAGCCATAATTAATCAAGGATAGACTTCAATAAGAACCCGCAGCCCACCAACTGGAGTTATTGTGTAGTTGGAGAAGCCAGCTTCAGTGAAGAGTTTGGACCACTGTTGTTCACTTCTTATGGCGCCTTCAAAACAAGACATCATGACCAGGTCCGTGTACAGCAGCGCTGTGGTGGAGCTGTGGTCGTTGCAGCTTTCGTGGCCTAGCACATGGTCTGCTATCATCACCTTCCCTCCTGCTGCCTTTCCACCACTAGTCACCGCTTTCTTGCATTGCTTCAATAGCTCCACGCAGGACTCGTCACCCCAGTCGATTAGCACCCACTGTTTTAATCAAGCAAACAGACGATTAAAAGAATTCGAATCTTAGACCTCCAGGTTCAAAACTAATAGTATTTTTTTTAATAATGGTCAAAACTAGAGCTGAAAGTTTGGTACTGGTATTTGGGATATACCGAATATCGTACCGAATTTATCACTATTTTCATAACACCAAAAGGCAAAAACTAGTATTAGTCGTCTCTAAGCCTCCAATTCGTCAAATTAAAGATTTTCAATGACAAGAATTTGAGATGCCACATCTCCATATCCTAGCTCTAGGCAAACTCAAGACTCTTTGCTTAGTCTCTTTGCCCTAAATTAAACTATCAAATCTAATTTATATATTTAATTATTAATTAGAAAGGTAATTAATTTCATATTTGATAAAACCGATTGGGATACCGAAGTACCGATTGGGATACCGGAATATTTAGCGATTGAGATTGGGATACCGAAATTATTTAGAGATTGTGATTGGGATTGACTTTAGTGTGTAATTCAGTATTCGAGGAATTTCGGTATTTGATATTGAGATACCACCGATACCATACCGATTTCCACCCTAGTCAAAACCAGTAGTACGTATTACCACTTTGAGATCAAATAATGGTCCATGAAACCGTACCGGAGACCGTACCGGGAAAGTCAGCGATACTGCGATAGGGTATTTTATGGTAAAACCGTGCTTTAACCGTAGTTCAACCGTTGTACCGTTAAATACCGCCTATCGGTTTAGCCTCCGATACTGATATTTCATGGTTGAACCACCGGTACAGTACGGTTTCATGGACCATGCAAATAAACCGCAACTCTGTACGTACCGTACCTTCAAGAGCACTGCATCGGCTGGCGCGGGGATTTCCTCGAACATGTTCCCTCCAACATAGCACAGATTCTCCTGGGTGGGTTTCAACCCGGCAACCACATGGGGGAGATCAAACACGGTGAATTCGATGGCAGGGAAAGCGTCGGCGAGGACTCGAGCCGTGTTCCCGGTGTTGCCGCCTACGTCCACGAGCGAGGTCAACCCCTGGAACGCCTTCTGGCACTTGCCCGCCAAAACCCTACCGAACAGCTCGCTGTCGCTCCCGACGCCTTCGTTCAGGAGCCGGGCGAAGCGCGGGTCCTCGGCAGCGACTTGGTACAGCTTCCTGCCACCGTGAGAGAGCGCGAACGGAGTCTGCTGTTGTTCTTCTTCCTCCTCGACGCCGGCGCGAAACCAAGTGCTCATCTGGCGCCAAGGATCCATCATGACAGGATCGCTCCCGAGGAGGAGCGCTGACCTTGCACTCAAGGGGTTCTCCTTGAGGAGGAGGCGAGACAGCGGCGCCAGGGAGTAGCGGCCTTGGTCGTCTTCGAGGAAGTAGCCCAAGTGGACGAGCGCGCGCATGAGGCGGGACAGGAACGGAGCTTTGACCGCGGGGATTGTTAGCGAGGAGGCGAGCTCGAGGAGGGTGATGGGACGAGCTCCGTGGCGGTGGACGAGGTCTGGAATCTCCAACTCGACTGCGCATTTCACTGCCATTGTGCTGATGTAGCCCGAGGTGTGCTCCCAGATGCGGGGTAGACACTCATCCGCAAGCTCCATCGCGCTTTCCATTTTCCGCCCCCCTTTCTTAGTTACTAGTACTTTTGTATGTATATTCTTTTCTTGTTTGCTTGTGTGTTCCTTTGATGCCCACTTCGCTTCTCTATTTATGCAAAAATTTCACATCAATAGTAGTCAATTCGTTAACTTTTCATCCAGTCATTCGCGTAAGTTGACTTTCGAGTTCTAATACTGCCGCGACTTGGATGCTGGGTCTTGACATTTAGCCAAACTGTGGAACTAGAACAATTTAATAGTCGAACATTTTATTATGCTTAAAGAAATAATAGCCAGATCTTTTGAAATGTAGTTATTTTTTTGTTAAAGCTAGCGCCATAGTTAGCAGAATCGTCATGATACGCCACTATTTTGATCAAGGTGAATGGAAGTTGAGGTGCGTTGCATCTATTTGTACAAAATACTAGTGTGACAATTTTTTTTTTTTTTTTTGTCAAGCATGTGAGTGACGTACATTCTTTTCCTAATTAGTATGTCAAGTGGTCACCAAGAATTCCTTCTTTCTTAACAACTTGGTGCTTGACGTCCACCTTCCTCCTAACGTTAAATTAAAATTTCCTGAAAACCAACCAAATCTCATAACCGGAAAAAAAGTTATTAATTTTTTTTAATAATGAGGGAAAGGGTAATTGATAATTATTTGGGTTATAGGTATAATATGCCCCTCTATTATTTCGTTTTATCAAACATGTCTCTTTACTATTTTTTACATCAAACATGCTTCTATGCACTTTGGAAAAATGATCAAACAAACCCTTCCGTTAAACTTTTCATCCGAAAAACCGTTAACCATAGCCAAACTTTGGTTTGAGCGATAATAGTAGATATAGATATAGTAGTCGATTCGTTAACTTTTCATTCAGCCATTCGCGTAAGTTGACTTTCGAGTTCCAATACTGTCGCGACTTGGATGCTGGGTCTTGACATTTAGCCAAACTGTGGAACTAAGACGATTTAATAGTCGAACATTTTATTAGGCTTAAAGAAATAATAGCCAGCTCTTTTGAAATGTAGTCATTTTTTTGTTAAATCTAGCGCCGCAGTTAGCAGAATTGTCATGATACGCCACTATTTTGATCGAATGTGAATGGAAGTTGAGCTGCGTTGCATCTATTTGTACAAAATACTAGTGTCACAATTTGTTTTTTTTTTTTTTTGTCAAGTATGTGAGTGACATACATTCTTTTCCTAATTAGTATGTCAAGTGGTCACCAAGAATTCCTTCTTTCTTAACAACTTGGTGCTTGACGTCCACCTTCCTCCTAACATTAAATTAAAATTTCCTGAAAACCAAACAAATCACTTAACCGAAAAAAGTTATTAGTTTGTTTTTAATAAAGGTAATTAATAATTATTTGGATTATAGGTATAATATGCCCCTTTACTATGTCATTTTATCAAATATGTCTATTTATTATTGTCTACATCAAACATGCTTCTATGCAGTTTGGAAAAATGATCAAACAAACCCTTATGTTAAACTTTTCATCTGAAAAACCGTTAACCATGGCCAAACTTTGGTTTGGGCGATACAAATATATAAAATATCCCTAATAATTTCACATTAGAATTTTTTTGTTTTTTTATAGCCAAATTATTCTAATAATTTCACAAGTATATTTGTGCTACAAATTATTCTAATAATTTCACTTTGACGAGATCCAGAAAAATAAAATAGGGGACAAAAGTGATATTTTCCCTCCCATTTGCAGATGTTAGGTTGTCGATCTAGATGTCGGTTCAACCATAATAGAGGTACATTTTGTAGATATGACCCTAATTATTTATGTAAGGCATCTTTTCTTTTACTTCTCCTCTGTTGACATTCTCGTTTTTTTTCTTCTGTACCTTCACTTGGCTTAAATTAATGATTAAGGCACTTGGCATTCTTGATGAGTAATTTAGTGCAACCGGACCATGTCACAACTAGCTATACAATTTATATATCACAACTAATGTTGATATGTGCTACCTTTTATAACAACTAGATGGACATTTTTAATGTTTAATTTCCAACTATTGTCTGTGGATACATGTAGTGATGCATCGATTTTCTCATATGCATCACACATATTATTCCCTTGTTATAAGAAGGCAACTCATTATCGGTTTAATCAGTGGAACCGCCAAACCAGTTATAATAGCATTCGATCTATTAGTTTGGACAATTAGGAATTGACCAAGTGATTTTTAACGATTGGACTTGAAACCAGATGAACCGCCATGATTTAACTAATCCTCTATTTTAACCACATAAAAGTTATGAAGAAAAACTATTTTAAGGTAAAGTAAGTGTTTGAAAAAGAGGTTTTCCTTTTACTCAACTGTCGATATGGTAATAAGGTAAAATCTCTCTAATCTCTACTACCTACAATAGTTACAAATATATGATCACAAGTCATCTCTTAAATCAAAGAAAGATCATAGAAGACCGTTGCACCTAGAAGAACTATACATAGAAGAAAGCAACAAGAGAAGACTCACAGAATGTGGCTGAGCAAATCTTACACAAAGTAAGACCAAACACTATGTGATTAGCAATAGGTGTAATGAGTGATAGGTGTTCGTTGTTTGTGTTGCTTGAGTGTTTGTGAGGTTTTGTAGTTTCTCTCTATAGCATGGGTGCTTGTGAGGAAGAGAGAAAGGGATATATTGCTCTAGTCTTATCAAAAGTTTGAGTTCCACCCAAAGGGACTCAGTTTGGAGTTAGAACGGAATAAGACAAAAACTTAGATACTAGGTCTCAAAGGGTGAGCCACCTTTGAGTCGAGACATAAGCAAATATCCTATTTTGTGAAAAAAATAGTCAAACCTTCTTAAATATAATTTGATAGCCATTTTTTCTTAATGTTAGCGCCGGAGGGATGAGTTAGCTTGCTAACCCCCCTAAGGGTTGAAAAAATGACACCCCCTAGGCCCTATTAACTATAGTTATTTTGGGTATTAAATTCATGTTGTATTTAATAATTTTTGGGAATTAAAAACTCATATTAATTACATTCTTTTTTTCAACTACCATTGCACTGATACAATTACCATTGCACTTGTTCAATGATACGATTGCACTGATATAACTACCATTGCACTGGAGAAAAAAAATTAAGATGAATTTTTAATTCCCATATATTATTAAATACAACACAAATTTATTATCTTAAAAGTCTATAATTAATAGGAGTGTCATTTTTTCAACCCGTTTAAAGATAGTCATGCTATCTCATTCCCCGTCAGAGTTTAAAGAATCATACGCAGGCCTAGCTATCTCAACACATCAGCACACAATTAATGAAAATAAAATATTATAGTTTTAGATAAAACATAAACATACAAAAAAAAATTGGAAGAGAACGAAACGAAAAAATTAATCGTCAGAAGACAAAAAACAATGAAGTTCTGTATTCCTTTTCCTGTTTAGCTATTTTAAGTACTAGACTACTAGTGTTAGGCCCGCCCATTGGTCGGATGAATTATACAATAATATAGTAATTATCTGAATAATTTATTTGGTACTATGAAAGAATTCAAATTATTCAATTACTAAAAATATTAAAAAATATATACATTATAAGATTTACATTTTACAACATCTTTAAGCATTTATGGAAAAAAGTCCTTATCAAAAGTAAAAACACAACTCATGTAGGTAACTGATTCCTAAAAGATTTAATATTTAAAATGCACTTCAAATACTTTTGTTGTTGGAAATTACTGCAAATTTTTCTTTGGATGTCTCCTTGATTGCTCAGCGATAAAAAATATCTTTTCCGCATAAATTTATCTTCATCAATGAAACTTTATATTCACCATCAATAGTCTCTTCCTTCTTCTCCTGCATTTTATTGAAAACCAAATTTTAACGGTAAAATGTTTGGAAATGTGAAACAACTTCTTACGGTAGTAGACTTTCACCTCATACAACGGCTAATGCGATTATCTCCATAATTGAATTTCACCTCTCCTATTAGCATACTCTTCCTTCTTCTCCTACATTTTACCGAATGCAAAAATTTAATGGGAAATTTTTAAAATGGAAAAATTCAATTTTCAAAAACTTAAATTTACCCAGTACATGTCAAGAACTTTGTCTAATATTGCTCTTCTTCATCCTTCATTATCTTAAATGTGTACCCATTACGGGGTTCACGATGTTGTAATCGGTGAGCTTGATCTAAAAATTTAACTACGTGCTCTCGGTTTTTATGGAATGAGGAGGTGAAGGTTCTCTCATTTTGTCACTATCTTTGAGTAAGTTCTCAATAGACATTCTAAAAAATCTAGCTTCCTCTCGATATAGTACAATAAAGTTAGATTAAACAAATGTTGTCTATAGCTACAACTTGCTACTAATCCTGAATCTATAGACTAACCCTTTCACTAATATTTTATCAAAATCAAGCAAAGTTATGAAAAAAGAAAGCAAATAGAGTTGCCGGTTTGCCGTTATGATAAAAGAAAACTATACATCACAAACATAGATCTAAAGTGGCATGATCCCATAATCTTTTATCTTTTATTAAACAACTATTGATAATTATATTCATAAACCTCCTCGCCATTGTCAATTCTAATTAACGCTCACCATTATCAATTCTGATTAATGCGTTGATTTTTTTTTATTTCATATTTATTTTATGGAAAACCTCAAATTCAAAGTTATAATTGAAAAGTATTGGGTTTGTTTAGTAAAGTTATTAAGAATTAGTTAATTAGCAAAGTCACACATATAAGATTTTGTCTCAAACACTTAAACTTATAATAAAATAAAAGTAAATAAAAAAATAAACCATCTTTCCTAACTAAAATTAATAATATGATAATTGTTTTTAAAAAAATTACCAACGGTTTTTTTCCCAATAGTATAATTAGCAACGTTTTATGTTTGGAGTTACTATTTATCGCCCTAAGAATTTAAAATTATCGCCCTAACCCCTACTGAAATTACGTCCTTGCCCTTATCTGTAATTTTGACTTTTGAGTTTTCGTCAAAATCCAAC